AAGTGGAGTTTGATTTTAGGTGGTGTGCACAAGGAAGAATAAAGAAGAGATAATAAATAAATAAATAAATTAGATTGATAGATGTTTGCATCAGCCACTGGCACTTTCCAATTTGAGTTTAAAATACTAATATGTAAAGCCTATTGAACAGGTAAAATCACCAAACTAAATCAAAACATGAAATGTTAAAAATCTGTATGTAAAATAGGGACGTAGCAACATTGCTAAGCAGATAGAACTGCCAAACTTTACTATGATGTTAAAATTATACAACTGAAAGAAGCCACTGGTGCAGCCATGATCACCCATTGCCCATTATAGCTCTACATCACAGGCATGGTGGCCTCTGTGGCTGATTGCCTTGGGTTTATCCAACAGGGGATGCCTAAGAGGTTGTTCTGGGAACAAACACTGCACACCCCAGAGGTGGGGGAGGAGGGTGTTGAGAGCCCGCCTTAGATCTCTTGGCAAAACCATGAGTCCCCCACAAAAGGCACCAGGCTGCAGACCTTGGCTCTTAGCTGAAGTAGGCCATCCAGCCTAGCCCAACCCTTTGCAGGCAAGCAGGAGGAAAAAAAACCAATACGCTGCTGCCATCCAATGGTGGCTTTGCAGAACGGCCCATCCCAAAGCTGCTGCCAAAATAAGAGTCTTTCCCGACTGCAAAATCCATTGGTAAGAGATATATGCTTCCACCAAGCTGCCCAGCTCCCACCCACCAGGACGCTTGACTTAGGGTGCAGTGGGCAATATACAAGGATACCCTGGATTGACCGCATCATCTTGGGGGGGGGCTGTAGGATGTCCTGTTTATTGTATTCCTGATTTGTTTGCAGGGAGATAAGATGACATGGGCTGGTAGCTCTTGGTTGAGCCAATTGCTAGTCCTGTTCAGGGTAGACCCACTGAAAATAATGGATGCATCTAATTTAGATCCTTTAGCTTCACAGGGGCTACTCAGAGTATAACTTAGTAGGCTACAACCCTCTGAATTTTTTGCAGGGAGTTTAGAGGACCTTTGCATCATTTCCCCACCTGTTTCCTCATCAGAAAAAGTCTGATCTTCAGAGGAAGCAGGTGTGCTGTACAAGAGCTCCCAATTTAACTGTAATTGCACATCCTGAATTTGCTGGTACATGACTGAGCCCAAAGATATTGACACGCTTGGTTTCCAGGTCACGGGAACTGATTTCCTAGATAAGAATGAAGATCCATTCCAGCTTAGTGTTCTGTTTCCAGAAGTGCATAGCTCCATATGATCCTAGAACACTGGTCTTCAGCTGCTCAATTCAGTTTTAATAGATTCAAGGATATGGCCACAGTTCAGTGGTACTGTAGTACACTCGGTTTGCATGCAGAAGGTGTGGGGTTTGCAGCCAAAATCACAAGTGCATGTTTTGCTAGACAAGCACAGAGTTCTTCAACTTCCTAAAGAGGATGCTCTGTGTATGGTCACTTTCTTTGCCTCCTCTAGGTGGGAGTCCTGTAACAAAGGAGGCAACCTCTTATATTTTCTTCTGCACCTGATGGGCCTCTCCGCCATGCCTCCAAGCTCCTGCTTTCAGCCACGTTAGCTAAAACTACCAACTTTTTTTTTTTTGTACTTTTAAATATGTTAATTTAAAGGAGATACATGATGTAGAGTTTTACACATGTTGTGGAGAGATAGGATGATGGTGTTTTCTTTCTGTAAGGACTCAAGAACCCAAGGCCATCTGATGAAGCTGAATGATGGGTGATTCAGGACAGACAGAAGGAATTTGTCACACTGTCCATTTAAAGTATGGAAGTCCCAGGATGTGGGAACCACCAGCTTAAGTGGCTTAGGCACTGGTGTCCAAACTTTTTGGAAAGAGGACCAGATTTGATGAAGTGAAGCACCAAAGGGCCAACCAAAGTTGCTGACCTTTTTTTAGGTTTGAAGTTGTTGAAGGTGTTTTTTTAGGATTTTACCCCAAAGTTGCTGAGCTTTTTTTGGGGGGGATTAGGCCCCCCAAATGGACTTTGGACATGCCTGCCCATTGTCCTGGCCATGGGCTTTCCAGGGGTATCTAAGAGGATGCTCTCTTAGATTAGTGTCTGGTGTGATCTTGGTGCTCTGCTAATTGATATTATCCAATTGTGAACTCCCCCCCCCAAGACACTAAGGTGGGCTTTCATCTTTAATCATTGTGGATAAAATCATTGCACATATACTAGGGTCAGGATGAATCTGCCACCTTCAAGGGCTGAAGTTAGGCTTGGAGATGGGTAGAACCTAGCTGGGGGATTGCTGCTAGGAGCACCACAGCTGACAAAATGTTTTAAAAGGCATTCATAAGAGGCACACATGAAGGCACACACGGACACACACACACGGTAGTGATTTAGCACTGAGAGATATCAGAAAACACAGTGCATTGACAAGTGGAAGACTTAGAAGGTGCATTAAAAAAAAGGCTACCTGGGCATCATTAGGAGCCTAGATAATAGAGTGCACATAGGAATGTGCACAGGTAGAAGCCAGCAGTGTAGCAGTTTCCAGAAGCAGGGGCAATACAATATGCTTTTGTGCAGGATTTGTATCTAAGTCTGAGTTGGGCAAAGTGAGCTTTGAGTGGACCCCCTCCAGAGCTTGCCTGAATACTAAACAGCACTGCATAGCCAAGCTACATGGCCATTTTAATTTCCCAGAATGCTCCAGGTAAAGGTAAAGGGATCCTGACCATTAGGTCCAGTCGCGGACAACTGTTGTTGCGGTGCTCATCTTGCTTTACTGGCCAAGGGAGCCGGCGTACAGCTTCTGGGTCATGTGGCCAGCTTGACTAAGCTGCTTCTGACGAACCAGAGCAGCGCACAGAAACGCTGTTTTCCTTCCCGCCGGAGTGGTACCTATTTATCTACTTGCACTTTGACGTGCTTTCGAACTGCTAGGTTGGCAGGAGCTGGGACTGAGCAACGGGAGCTCACCCCGTTGCGGGGATTCGAACCGCCGACCTTCTGATCAGCAAGTCCTAGGCTCTGTGGTTTAGACCACAGCACCACTCACATCCAGAGCAGAGGCCAAATGTGGCATCCCAGCCATGCCTTCACCACCCTTGCTTCACACCCTCCTAGAGGGTATTTACCTGGCTGGAATGTATCCTTAAACTCTGAGAACACCTCTTGGTTGCCTGTTTGGGGTATAGAGAGGGCTCTCGCTCTCTGTTTATGTAGAAATTAGCCTATGGTTTACAAAGGTAATATACACCCATTGTTGTGGCCCTGCCCAAGACTGGCATGTGGCTCCCATTATGATAAAGTTCTCCTCACCCTCCTCCAGATCAGGGACATTGTGAAATATATGGCTACTACACCCAGCTACCCAACACTGCTCAAATCACCAAGCTGGACTATTCATATTTATTAATGGGAATGCCAGGGAAAGTGTTAGCAGCGACCCCAGCTCAGGGATGCCAGATATGTGCTTAATATGGTCTTGCTTTTACAGAATCCACTTGATTAAAACCAGGAGAGGAAATGGCTGACACAAGACTTTGCAGCGCTTCCCACTACAGGAAGCAGAAGCCAAGGCCATCCAGCCATCCAGCCACTGCCTGGTTCTCTCTGAACATCAGCCAGCCTTGCCTCCTATATGGTACTTCCTATGAATATTTGAAGGATGCCCTCCATGTCCCTTCAGGGCAAGACAGACAGCTGTGACTGGTAGGCGTCTGGTTTGGAGACGAAGAACTGGCTTTTGGAAATGTCACAACACTGGCAGAGGAGACGATGGCAGAGAAGAGATACCAAAAGATGCCTCACAAGCAAATCAAGTCTTCCGGCACAAGCTTTATATCTGACGTGGATCAGACATGCACATCTTGGCTTTATGCCTCAGCTGAAATTGTACAGTTTGTGAAACTGGGTGGTACAGGATTGCCATTCAGCACTGTAGCAAATGAAGTCTGAGTTTGGTTTTATCTGTTGATTTCAATCATCTTTTGTTTTTGTTTGTCTTAAAAACAATGCTCCTTTTCAAGCAAGAATTTGAATGTTTTAAACTGTTTCAAGGTTTTCTTACATTCAAGGAGTGTATATGCCTTTTCATTAAATGAAATACATCAAATGAATTACTTCATTGCAAATTAAAGACAGGTGAGGGCTTGCAATGAAACAACAGTATTTCAAGGGCTAGCTCTCCATAATTCCAGCTGCTCCATTCCATTATCTATCCTGAATCATTTCCCATCATATCCCCATTACAGACACTCAATTGTCCATTGAACATACCCAGATCTCACCGTGGGCACCTAGATTCTCTGTCTCTCTCTCCTCTCCACCCTACACTGGCTGCCAACTTTTGGTACTTCTTATACCTCCTGTTGATACACCCCCTCTTGGGTGGGGGGGTTTGCTGATTTGACTACATTAGCACCAGCATTCTTCTGTTTCAGAAACAGTAAAAGGTAAAGGTTAAGGGACCCCTGACTATTAGGTCCAGTTGTGGCCGACTCTGGGGTTGCGGCGCTCATCTCGCTTTATTGGCCAAGGGAGCCAGTGTACAGCTTCCAGGTCATGTGGCCAGCATGACTAAGCCACTTCTGGCGAACCAGAGCAGCGCACGGAAACGCCGTTTACCTTCCCGCCGGAGCGGTACCTATTTATCTACTTGCACTTTGACGTCCTTTCGAACTGCTAGGTTGGCAGGAGCAGGGACCGAACAACGGGAGTTCACCCCGTCGTGGGGATTCGAACTGCCAACCTTCTGATCGGAAAGCCACCCACGTCCCTTCAGAAACAGAGGGATTTGCAAAATACGCCAGGACAGGGAGAATGACTCCTGCTTCACATTTATGGTTAAATCCAGAGATGGGGAACCTGTGGCCCTCCATTGCTGGAAAACTCTTGTCACACACAGGCAGGATGAGGCCGGCAGTTGTTCGGAACAGCACTTAGAGGGCCAACTCCTCATTCAATCAGAGATGCTAAGAGGGGTGCAGTGGGGGGGGGGGCGGCATGCGAGTGAAGCAAAGAAGACATTTTTACATTCAAGGTCTCAGAATAATTTATTAAATACATTAAAATCTGTGTTTTCAAAGTTTCACCATTTAAACAAAGCTGATTGGAAAAAGACACAAATAAAAAGGGTCGTGGAAGAGGATCAATTGTCCTATAAAAACCACGTGGTGCTGGGAATGTGAACGTTTGCATGTCCATGTTGCTGGATCAGCCACCCAGCAAACTTGAAGGAGCTCATGAAGAGAGGCTGGCCGAGAGAAAGGAAAAAGGCTTCACTACTCCAGAGGTGGCGCTTAGCAGATCAGACTTGCACACACAGAAAAACATAACGCCCAATGTGGTAAATAGCCATGGGAAAAATAAACCCCCACAAACCCACAGACACACACAGTGTGTCAGAAGCCCTGCTTTAAAAGTACTTTGACATTGGCTGTTCTGTAACATTGAGACTGCAGAGGCCAGGAGCCTCTCTGGGCAACAGCTAGTCCACTTTTAAAACTGCTATGCTAGTAAGCAGCCAGAACTCTCTAATTGAAGGAGGAGGAAAACTCCAGAAGGAATATGGCCAACCAGCCTCACACCTCCACTGGCCATGAGCTGCAAAGCTGCAGAGGCACTCACTGTGGAGCGCAGCACAAGACTTGTTCCCACCCACCGTTGTCCAATGGATCAAGTACATCACTACCCAAAGCTCCTAACTATTTGGAATTCTGCTTAACAAACTGTATGTTTTTCTTCTCTTTTCCAAAAAGCTCTCCTCCTTCCCCTCCTCCATCTGGACTCACTTCCTGGAAGAAGCAAAGTCAAGAGGTAGAGTTAGGCTAGAATTGTGATTGTCTGTTGTCTCCAGTCTGTGGATTACAGGGGTGGCAGAGAGAGGGAAAATGGTAGCTACTACAAGCACTCAAGAGCCAAAAAAGGAACTACTACAAGCACCCAGAGTAAAAATCAGATGTGCTATGCCACATTTTTTTTAAAAATGGCAGGGAAATGCCAGTTGCCCTACATCAGAAGGAATGTTGATAGCAGCTCTTCCTGCACTGCCTGTACTGTTCTCTAGAGGGCAAGCTACTGCAAAAGGGCGCACTGGGCTTAAATCACAGGATGCCCAGCAGAGAAGCAATTTGTCTACACCCACACACCTTTTCTGGTTAGCACACAACAGATATGGGGTGGCACTCAAAGTATATACATATGTACATTCATTCATTCATTTGTTTGTTATGTCATTCTCTCTCTCTCTCTCTCTCTCTCTCTCTCTCTCACACACACACACACACACACACACACACTGATCTGCACACACCTCTATCTTTCCATACACGATGACTCCCACATTTCAGATAAGGCATCACGGGTGTTCGGATTATAAAGCAGCAAGTAAGATGATGAACTGTACAGCACAAGGAAAGAGATTGTTGTGCAAGGCAGCCATGGCCCAGGGAACTATTGCTGGGGGAGAGAGCGCCCCCTCCAGGCAATGTTTTGTGCTGTCCTTTCTCCCAGCTTGGCATGCCAGACATCAAGTTGTGAGCTCGTGGCTAGTTGCCATTGCTCAGGCTGGAGGTTGCGCTGCTGCAACTTTGTTCATATGAAGGGGGTGCCTCTGGAAGGAAGCAAAAGAGAGAGAGAAGTTGAAAGCCATCTAGTTCAGAGGTTTTCAAACTGTGGTCACACAGTCTGTCCCTAGTCATTCTGTGGAACTTAACTTCACAGGAGGATGCAAAGGCCACCAACTTGCAAGGCTTCAAAAGAGGATTAGACCAATTAACAGAGGAGTAAATTTAATGGTGTCTACTAGCCATGATGGCTTTCCTCCATGGCAGCAATGATTCTGAGTACCAGTTGTTGCAACCTGCACAAGGGGAGAGGGCTCTGGAGCTCAGGTCCTGCAGGCATCTGGTTGGCCACTGCGAGAATGGGATGCTGGACTAGATGGGCCACTGGCCTTCTGATGTTCTTATGGTCCACAGATCAGTGGTCCAGGAGCTCTAACCGTTTGCAGCCAGAGTAACATAAGAAGCTGTGGTCCATTCAGTTCAGTACTGTTGAGGCTGCCTAGTAGCAAATTCCCCAGAAAAGAGACTCTCCCGGTCTTTCTGGGAGTTGCTGGGAACTGAACATGGGATCTTCTGCGTGCAAAGCAGGTGCTCTGTCACAGAGCTGTGGGCCTTCCTTTTTAGTCTCGGTGTTGCCCTTCAGAACTCAGGAGGGAGGAGGAGACCAAGATAGAATACACTGGCTTTGTCATCTGCTCTGGTGCCACTTACTGCTGGCCTCCTTGCCCTTCTGCCCCACCAGTCCCCATAGGAATCACACACTGCTGCCCATATGGGAAACAGCACAGCTCCTGGGGTCTCTGCCCCAGCCAGGGAATCCTATCTGAGGCTAGGCAGGCGCTTACCATAGGGGTAACCCCAGGTGCTATACTCCGGAGGCAGGATGAGGGAGCTGGCTGTGGGAACCGGAACCACCGTCCCCTCGGCATAGTAAGGGACCGTCGCTCCTGTCGAGAGGCAGAGTGTGGGGTGGTTGGGCGAGCTGCCCTGCTCCGAGTCCAGCCTTGCTTCTGGGAAGCTCAAGCCTGGTGCATAGCTGAAAGGCTGCTGCTGGGAGTGGCTCTTGGTGGGGATGGAAATGTTGTCCATGGGGTGGTAGCCACCTGCAGCCTCCTCGTCCACCGGTGGTGCACTCGGGATCACGGGCGACGGGATGTGAGGGACTGAGCGGGTCGGGTTGAGGGGGATCCTGTTCACAGCGATGTTGCCAATGTAGATCGGGAGAGCAACAGAAACCTCAGGAGATTTCAGGGAAACCTAGGGGCAGGGAGACAACAATATGACACAAGCATGAGGACATTGCAGGGGTTTGGACTGGACGGCCCTTAGAGCCCTTCCAACTCTATGACTCTATAAGGAGCAGTCCTGTGGGGTCAGACCAAGGACCCATATATCAGGGGTGTGGAAGCGTCAGTCCCAGTGGCTGAATATGGCTCTCCAGACCTCTCCGTCTAGCCTTCAGGTCTACATTTCATCCCTCCCTAGGGATGTTGGTGCCTGGAAGGTGTTTTTTTATTATTTACAAAATATATATGCTGCTTGACACACCTGTTTCCCTGTTACCTCACCCACTTTTGCTTCTGGCCCTCAAGAGGCTGCCCAGGAGGAAATGTGGCCCTCGGGCTGAAAAAGGCCCCCTGCTGCCTCTGCTATATTGGTAGCCCACAACCTGTGCTCATAGTCCTCAGCAGAACTTGGACCTTACCTGGATGTAGTAGTCAATATGGATGAGGCTGCAGCCTTGAAGGATGGACTGAGGCAGCGCTGGGACGAGAATCTGCTCCCTCCATTCTGCATGCTTCCAGGCCTTCACGGGCGAACCCTCCACTTCCGCTATGGTCCTCAGGTCATAGATCCACCGCTTGGATTTGTAGGCAACTTTCTGGGTTGGGGAGAAGAGAAGGGGAAAATAAGGGGTTGTATCCAGACCATAACGAAGGCTGATCACTGAAGAATTGATGCTTTTGAATTATGGTGCTGGAGGAGACTCTTGAGAGTCCCATGGACTGCAAGAAGATCAAACCTATCCATTCTGAAGGAAATCAGCCCTGAGTGCTCACTGGAAGGACAGATCCTGAAGCTGAGGCTCCAGTACTTTGGCCACCTCATGAGAAGAGAAGACTCCCTGGAAAAGACCCTGATGTTGGGAAAGATGGAGGGCACAAGGAGAAGGGGACGACAGAGGACGAGATGGTTGGACAGTGTTCTCGAAGCTACCAGCATGAGTTTGACCAAACTGCGGGAGGCAGTAGAAGACAGGAGTGCCTGGCCTGCTCTGGTCCATGGGGTCATGAAGAGTCGGACACGACTAAACGACTAAACAACAACATCCAGACCTACTCCAAGTACTCCAAAATGGGCCTATTATTCTGAGAAGAACTCAGTTGAATACAACCCTATAGTTTTGCCTTGGATTCATCAACAGCTAATCCTAATTCTTCATAAAGACAGCTTCCTATGTTCCTAAGATTGCATTTGCAGCAAGGGAACGAAAAATGAACAAGTGCCCCTCAAGCAAAGCTGAGCACCTACAATACACTATCAAAAGCCTAGCCCGGTTACCTGGATGAGGCTGGCTACAATGGTGCTGGTGTCCCGGCCTGATTTGTTCTCAATGTCTGTCCGCAACTGGATGACCTGCCCTACAACGTAGCCCTTGAGGTCTGTGGTGGCTGTCAGGACCACGTTGCCAGTTTTCACGAGCTTGTAGCTGAACTTCTTTGTGATCGACGTTGTGTTTGGCTGCTGCAGAAAAGGAACACTAGGATGAGAAGGGAAAACACACCCTGCCTCCCACTGAGTTAGGCCCCACCTGCACTATTCATTTAAAGCACTATAAGGCCACTTTGAACCGTCATTGGCTCCTCCTCTAAGAATCCTGTGAACTATAGTTTAAGGTTGCTGAAGATGGCGGGGAGATTCCTATTCCCCTCACGGAATTCCCAAAGTGGTTTAATGATCTATCCCTTGGGACTGAAAAGCAAGGTGTGGGGGTGCCTACCATCTTCCTTCCTTCCTTCCCACCAACCCTTACCTCAATCTCAGGGATATCATTCAGGTTCAGCGGGCAGAGGACATAGAATATCTTGCTGCATTTGTGATCCTTGGAAAACCGTGGTGTCTCTATCACAGCTTTGACCTGGTGCAAGACCTTCCCAAAGGGACCCTCAAAGGATGTAGGAGCTGAAGCTGTTTTCCAAAGAGAAAAGAGACAAGACATGGCATATAATGTACTTCCCCCCCTTTTAAACACCCACACAAACACACTTTCTTATGACTTGCACTAGAAAATATTTTGCCAAAATCTCATTCTACTCTAGGAAAAGGTTTTGACATGCATATGTTTTGCAAACATTAGAAGTAAAACCAAAACCGTACATCTTCTTGATTTCTGATGGCTTTGGGGAGGAGGGTGATGTGGGGCATTTTATAACTATAAGCATGGATAAACCAAGACATTTTGGCACCTGAGGCAGACCCCAAAATGGCACCTCCCTCCCCACCAGGGAAGAAATGGTGAGGGAAGATCTACATCAGGAATAAGGTGGCGGTGGGGGGAAAGGTTGACATCAGGATCTGCTGCCCTGGTGGATCTTGCCACCTGAGGCAGTCACCTCACTTCGCCTCATGGCTGAGCCGACCCTGACCATAAGGCAGACCTGCACAACTTGGCAGTAGGTAGGGGGTGGTGCTGTGGGTTAAACCACAGAGCCAGTAAAGCGAGATGAGCGCCGCAACCCCAGAGTCGGCCACAAATGGACCTAATGGTCAGGGATCCCTTTACCTTGTTAAACTTCTTCAGACCAATTTCCAAGTAAAGTTATAATTAATGATTAAACTGTTTTGCAAATAAACCATATTATTAAAAAGGGAAATTTCAATTAATATAAATTAACTTGGTGGGCAGCAAGGGCGGGGTAAGAAGCCCCCATGTTTCTGCCGCTCACCGCATAGCGGGTGTCAGCTGCGTTGGTCCCTGTCCAATGCCAGTAACAACCAAAAACACAGCGGAAATATATGACTCTCACTCCTAGAATCATAGAATAGAATCATAGAGTTGGAAGAGACCACAAGGGCCATCGAGTCCAACCCTCTGCCAAGCAGGAAACTCTCGGACTAGAGTTGGATTGGCAATGGTTGGTTGCCGTGGGTTACGTAACAAACAGGAGAGAATGCTCAGTGGCAACCCATCCACCAAATTACATGATGAGCACAATCAGCGCTTTTATTCTGGAGCTACTCAGGGGTATGCAGTACCAGCACCTTTTTCCCCTAGAAGAAAAACATTGGGCACAATAGCAGAAGGCAGTTCAAGTGGCACATGGAAAAGCACTCATTACATCTTTACTTTCTTTTACATTTTTTGCAGGCCACCCAAAATCCTTGGGGGAGCTGCAAGTGGGCCGTATGTTGTGCAGGTCATAAGGACTAGAAAATTGTTGCTTTCTCTTTTTTTTTTTTAAAAAAAGGAAAAGCAGGCAGATACTGTAAGCTGCCTTATGAATGCCAATTGTTCTTATTTGTTTAAAATATTCATGAATCACCTGCAATCATAGCTCTCTAAGCAATGTACGTTACAGAATAAAATATGGAGCATACATACAGTGGTGCCCAGCAAGACGAATGCTTCGCAAGACGGAAAACCCGCTAGACGAAAGGGTTTTCCGTTTTCAATGCACTTCGCAGGACGAATTTCCCTATGGGCTTGCTTCGCAAGACGAAAATGTCTTGCGAGTCTTGAGATTTTTTTTTTGCTCCCCCCCCTTTTCTAAGCCGCTAAGCCTTTAATAGCCTTTTAGCAGCTAATCTGCTAATCCGCTAAGCCTTTAATAGCCGCTAAACCGCTAATAGCGCTAATCCGTTAAGCCGCTAATAGGGTTGCTTCGCAAGACAAAAAAACCGCTAGACGAAGATACTCGCGGAACGGATTAATTTCGTCTTGCGAGGCACCACTGTAGTAGAAAAATGGTACAGCATTTTTTTTAAAAAGGGACATGATAAAATCGATGTTCCAGAAACGGCATGATGAAATCCATACAATCCATAATTAGTATAGATATCAAATTTCAGAATGTAAATATTCTTAGGAATGTTCAGTTATGTGCTTTGCATCAAAGTCTGTTTTTAATTTGGTGTTTGCATGGACTATGAATAGCCCCAGATAGACACGTTCTTCAACAGCCCCTCTTTCTTTTTTCTTTTTTAATGTATTTTTATTAAAGATTTTCTTGGTTTACAAAATCATGTGCAATGTCTCTCTCTCTCTCTTTTTTCTTCAAGTAACATTTTTTACAAATCAGTTTCATTTGTTGAGACATTGGGAAGAAAATGGGGGAAAGGTGAGTGGGGGTGGGGTCGGGTGGCGATGTTTCTATTTTCCTTAATATATGTGGGGTTCTGCGTCAGCCAGCAGCCCCTCTTTCTAAGCATTTTTAAACTCTCTTTTTCAAACCTGATTTAGAAGTTCCTAGTTATTTTAGTTAACTGTTTATTCTTTATATCCCAGGCTTCCTTTAAACAAACAAACAAACAAACAAACCCTCAAGACAAACTGGAAACACCCCCATGGACACCAGCTTAACAACTCTGCAACTTGGCTAGGCAGGAAAGGTGTGACCAGCCCAAAGTCCACCCAGTGAGCTTCATAACAGAGAAGATGGTCTTATGCACACACACAAAGTCAAAGTTCAGCCATTCAATTAAAACAAACAAACAAAAAATATGATGAATAAGTAGGGGTTTTTTGGGAGGGGAATAACGTTCTTGTTTAATGTTTCACGGTTTTTTATAGAAACAACCAATTTTAAAAATTAAGAGAGAGAATGGAGGGCATGATTTGAACCTGAAGACACTGATGGGTGCAAATTGTGTGTGGGGGGGGGGAGCACAGCAGATCAGCTTCTGTTCCACATATTCAGCTGTAGGGCTCATTCACATTTAAATTTTGCCCCATGCTTTCTAGGCAACAGACCCGCACTTTCCTGGACAGTGCTAGAGTACTTTCCCCCAACCCCACCACTTTCACCAAGAAAACCTGATCTTTAACGCCGAATTGGAACAAATGACAATTTGGGCTTTTCTGCAAGTTGCCAAGTGCCTTAAAGAGTGGGTTTCCATGAGGAAAGCGGCTGAGGAGGAAAAAATTAAAATAGAAATGCTACGACACAGACTGGAAAAGCACAGACCTGTGCCTAAAAAGCACAGTGAACAATTAGTGTGTATGAGCCCATAGTGACTTGTGACCATGTGAACTCAGATGAAGGATCGTACATACAGTGGTGCCCCGCAAGACGAATGCCTCGCAAGACGGAAAACCCGCTAGACGAAAGGGTTTTCCGTTTTTGAGTTGCTTCGCAGGACGAATTTCCCTATGGGCTTGCTTCGCAAGACGAAAATGTCTTGCAAGTCTTGAGATTTTTTTTCGCTTCCCCCCCCCCTTTTTCTAAGCCGCTAAGCTGCTAATAGCCTTTTAGCAGCTAAGCTGCTAAGCCGATAAGCCTTTAATAGCCGCTAAACCGCTAATAGCGCTAATCCGCTAAGCCGCTAATAGGGTTGCTTCGCAAGACGAAAAAACCGCTAGACGAAGACACTCGCGGAACGGATTAATTTCGTCTTGCGAGGCACCACTGTACCCGTATTTTTCACTCTATAAGACGCACCAGACCACAAGACGCACTTAGTTTTTGGAGGAGGAAAACAAGAAAAAAAATATTCTAAATCTCAGAAGCCAGAAGAGCAAGAGGGATCGCTGCGCAGCGAAAGCAGCGATCCCTCTTGCTGTTCTAGCTTCTGGGATAGCTGCACAGCCTGCATTCGCTCCATAAGACGCACACACATTTCCCCTTACTTTTTAGGAGGGAAAAAGTGAGTCTTATAGAGCAAAAAAACCCGGTATATTTAATGAATAAACAAATAAATAAGACAGGGAGCCCAACAAGAGGTGCAGCCAAAGGGGAGGAAGAGCCAACCCATTCTAGTTCCGTTCCCGTCCTCTTCCTCCTCCTCCATCTACAAAGGCAACATTGAGATGGAGGAGGCGGTGGCAGAATCTGACAGCTAGTAAAAGCCCCTGGACTGAACAGTAAGCAGCAAGGTGGACAGGTGGGGGCTGGCTGAAAGCAGACTGTGGTTGTTAGAACAGCACCTCATTCACATTCATTCACTTGACACAAAACCATGGCTAGCTCTTGTACAGGTTTTGGAATTCCCACCCCACAGAGGTGCATCTGACACCTTTGTTGCATAGTTTTTGTCGTTTGCTGAAAATAAACCTCCCTTTTCTGTCCGCTGATGCAACTGAGACCCACCACACTCCTATGATTTTTAACTTAGTTGTAAGCTGTTTTAACAGCGTATTTTAAATCATTGCAGCCTGCCATGGTAAGTTAGGGTGAAAGGCAGGTAAGAAATCCAAATAAAATTACCAATAATAATAGCAATATCTGACGGCAGTTAAGCACTTGCATGACACCCCAGGCAACCCTGTGATTGTGCTCACAGGACGTTAAAATCGAGGTTATAGGAAGTCTGAAGTCACTGTTCAGTCGCAGTCCTGGAAATCAATGGGAACAAGAGAGCAAAAGAATAAATTCACTGTACCTGGAAGCAGGAACTGGAAAGGGAATGTGTGCTCCCCAGCTGCCAGGACCCCTGCAAAATATAAACGCAGAATAAGTGTAGGTAAAAGAAGAAGCCAGCAGGGACTGTAAAACAGGACTTAAGAAGAAACAGGCCACATGCCCATCTAGACCCACATCCTGGCCTCACAGTGGCCAGCCAGGTGGCCTCAGTGAGAGGCTCAAAAGGAGGACCTGAATGCAAACACCCTTTCTCCACTAGTAATTCCTTCTATCCAGAGGCATATACTGCCTCCAACAGTGGAGAGAGAACGAAAGAAGAACATGGGTCAGGCTAGTGCCCCATCTAGTACAGCATTCTGTTCTCACCTTGACAAACCAGATGCCTGTGGGACGCCCAGAGGCAGGACCTGAGCACCCTCTGCACTTGCAATCCCAGGAAGTATTATTCAGAGAGGGTGGGGGGGTAGTATGTAAAAAGAACCCTGCGGCTGGATGAGGCCAAAGGCCCATCTAGTCCAGCATCCTGATCTCACAGCGGCCAACCAGATGCCCCATCTTACCGGAGACTTTTTTATATATATTTATGTTGCAGTACATATATGAGATGGGACACGGGTGGCGCTGTGGGTTAAACCACAGAGCCTAGGGCTTGCTGATCAGAAGGTCGGTGGTTCGAATCCCTGTGAAGGGGTGAGCTCCCGTTGCTCAGTCCCTGCTCCTGCCCACCTAGCAGTTCGAAAGCACGTCAAAGTGCTAGTAGATAAATAGGTACCGCTCCGGCGGGAAGGTAAACAGCGTTTCTGTGCGCTGCTCTGGTTTGCCAGAAGCGGCTTAGTCATGCTGGCCACATGACCCGGAAGCTGTACGCTGACTCCCTTGGCCCATAGAGCGAGATGAGTGCCGCAACCCCAGAGCCATCCGCAACTGGACCTAATGGTCAGGGGTCCCTTTACCCTTTACCTATATGAGATCTTTACATATTGATACATATACATTATATTCGTAAATTCACATTTTCACATTTCATTAAGTTCCAACATTTATCCCTTTCTTATTTCTTGCCCTGTGTCTTCCCTCCACCTGTGAGTGACTTCCTTGTTATTATTTGCAACTTTATTATTAAGATTGTAATTTTGTATCTTGATAATTAAACATTCAATCTTATATATCTGCTTAGCTTAACTTAACTTTGTGAAATCAGTCTATACATATCAATAAATTCTTGTTGGAGCATCTTTTGGTCATGTATTCTTCTACACATTTCCATTCCTGTTTGAGATTTTGATTAGGGTTGATAATCTAATCAAAATCCATCTTATGGGAGACTTGTAAGCAGGACCCAAGCGCCACCTGACTATTCAGACAATGAAGAAATGGGACAGATTCCATCACACACGTGCTGTTACAGCTAATGTCTTGAAAGGTAAAGGTAAAGGGACCCCTGACCATAAGGTCCAGTCGTGACTGACTCTGGGGTTGCGACGCTCATCTCGCTTTATTGGCCGAGGGAGCCGGCTTACAGCTTCCGGGTCATGTGGCCAGCATGACTAAGCCACTTTCTGGCGAACCAGAGCAGCACACAGAAACACCATTTACCTTCCCGCCGGAGCGGTACCTATTTATCTACTTGCACTTCGTGCTTTCGAACTGCTAGGTTGGCAGGAGCAGGGACCGAACAATGGGAACTCATCCTGTTGCGGGGATTCGAACTACCAACCTTCTGATTGGCAAGCCCTAGGCTCTGTGGTTTAGACCACAGCGCCACCCACGTCCCTGTCTTGAAAGGTAAACCAAACTTATTCTACAGACAGAAGCTGAATAAGTTCCACCTGAGGTCCCTACGAGGGAGAGCTCTCTATCACAAGAAGCAATTTTGGCCACCAACCTGGTTGGCTTCAAAAGAGGATTAGATATATTCTTGGAGGAACAGGCTGCTGGCCACGATGCCTATGTTTCACCCCCTCTGTTGGAGGCAGTCCGCCTCTGAGTGGCAGATGCTAGGAATCACAAGGGGGCGGGGAGAGGGGCTGTTGGGCTCAGGTCTTGCCTGTGGCCTCCTCATTGAGGTATCTAGTTGGCCACTGTAGGAATAGAATGTTGGACCAGATGGGCCCCTGGCCTCATCCAGCTGCAGGTCTCTTTTTACGTTCTGCGTTCTTGCATTCTTACATAGAGTACAGTGGTACCTCTGGTTGCGAACGGGATCCGTTCCGGAGGCCCGTTTGCAACATGAAAAGAGCGCAACCTGAAGCACCAAATCTGCGCAGGTGCACGGTGCGATTTTCTGCTTGTGTGCATGCGCGAAGCGCAATTTAGCGCTTCTGCGCATGCATGAGCGGCGAAACCCGGAAAAAGCCCTTTCCGGTACTTCCTGGTCGCTGTGGGATGTAACCTGAAAGAACGTAACATGAAGCGGACATAACATGAGGTATGACTGTATGAAATTTACTAGTTGCTACTTCAAGTTAATTAATAATCCACAGGCCTTCAACATCTCACATGAAAATGTTTGACTTCATATGACGAGGGTGAAAGAAGCTCAGTTTAAAAAAAGAACACCAACTAAAAATGTATTTCTCACTGTTTAAAAAAAATTTTTGGGAAAAGATTAGGATAAATGCTGTCACCAGCATATCCTTTAGTAATACAAGTACACTCTAAATGTTGCTTGTAGATCTTCATAGCTTGGGATGCAAATGAAGACATGTGAGAAACTGAATCAGTTCCCATTTCATTGTGACTCTACCCAATTAACACTTCCCAAAGGCAGCAGATGAACCCAACGCATCTATCATTTGAAATTCACACCCCTCCAAATTTTGCAGGGCGGATCTCCAATTTTTAAAAGTATGTAAAAAAAAGAGAGTATATACTTGGGGAAAGTGTACATAAAAATACATACTATACTGATGAAAGCAATATAAAAACCTATACTATATTAGGGGAAACTGGCTGCAAAAGTGCAAATTTTAGACAAAATTACACACAATTTGCATACATCAGAAGAAATGCAAACTAAGTCCTAATAAGTTTAATGGTGTTTATTCCCATTTAAACTGAGAATGGCAACCAGACAGACTTTACAACTGACTCAGTCCCATAAGACTGTATATTCGTGGTCAGGAAAAGTCACAAACCACTCCATGGTCCATCTTGGGAACAGAATGGCCAAATGTGCAAAATGGATCTGGTTAGCTTGTCTCTATAAAAAAAATTAACACACTACAAACATGATTATCACACAATCATCATATCATACAATCAATATCACAAATCACAATATCATAAAATCATATCACACTGTCACACATTCATCCAATCATATGTGGGGGGTATCATTGAGGGCTATTATATCTGATGATGTTATGATGTGATTGTGTGATATGATATTATGATATAGTGATTTGTGATATTAAGATTGTATGACCTTGTGATGTTGTGATTATGTATCTATATGGTGTTGTGTTTGTATGATATTATGATTGCAAGATACAGTGGTACCTTGGGTTACGGACGCTTCAGGTTACAGACTCCGCTAACCCAGAAATAGTACCTCAGGTTAAGAACTTTGCTTCAGGATGAGAACAGAAATTGTGCGGTGGCGGCACGGCCGCAGCAGTAGGCCCCATTAGCCAAAGTGGTACCTCAGGTTAAGAACAGTTTCAGGTTAAGAACGGACCTCCAGAACGAATTAACTTCTTAACCCGAGGGAACACTGTATTGGGATCTTATGATTGTATGATAATGTGATCTTGTGGTTGCATGATTTAATGATATGGCTATAAAATATGGTTGTATAATATCATTATTGTGAGATATTATGATATGAACTTGTAAACAGAGGCATTTGTGAGGGTGGTTTGAGGGGAAGGTCCCAAGTGCTGCCTCATGGGGTACCCAGGACCAAGAGACGTGGGTGGTGAGGGAGCTGCTGCAGTGACCAGCAACACCTGTGCCATGTTTGTCTTCTTGCGCGAGAAGGGGCAAAACTACACTCGGTTGCCTTGCTGAACGAGAAGGCACAGCAACGTGAGCTCACTTAGCCACACTCTGAGCTACTGGCCAAGAGGAGGAATTCCTTGATAGAGCAGAGTGGACCGTCCTGGAGCAGTGATGCAGATGAGGTCCCCCTAGGGAGGTGGAAGATCTCCCAGTGCAGGAGACGAACCCCTGGAGGAACACAACACGTGGATGCGAGACTGCCAGGATCCATGTATTACTGGAGCTGCAAGGTTGATTCCATGCCCTCACCTTGGACACTGATTCTGCGCCAGAGGAGCAAGGACAGCAGTTGCAGACCTCAGAATACACCAAAATGTCTGTGGAAGGAACAGTTTACAGAACCATTTCTGCCGCTCCTCAGAGGAGGAGACGACGAGTGGTGGTGGTAGGTGACTCCCTGCTTAGGGGGGCAGAGGCAGCAGTGTGTGGAGGTAGCAGGATGTCCTGGGAGGTGTGCCGTCTTCCAGGTGCAAAGATTCATGATAAGACAGAGAAGCTGCCAGGTCATATGAAGCCCACTGACCCCAACCCCTTCCTTCTGGTTCATGTGGGTACAAATAGTACTCCACAGCCTTCGATGTATAGCAAGGGACTATGAGACTGGGCGGGACGCAGGTGGCGCTGTGGTCTAAACCACAGAGCCTAGGGCTTGCTAATCTGAAGGTTGGTGGTTCGAATCCCCACAACGGGGTGAGCTCCCGTTGCTTGGTCCCTGCTCCTGCCAACCTAGCAGTTCGAAAGCATGTCAAAGTGCAAGTAGATAAATAGGTACCGCTCCGGCGGGAAGGTAAATGGCGTTTCTGTGCGCTGCTCTGATTCGCCAGAAGCGGCTTAGTCATGCTGGCCACATGACCCGGAAGCTGTACGTCGGCTCCCTCGGCTAATAAAGTGAGATGAGTGCTGCAACCCCAGAGTCGGCCACGACTGGACCTAATGGTCAGGGGTCCCTTTACCTTTACCTTTATGAGACTGGGCAGGAAGCTGAAAGGCCTTCAGGCATAGGTGGATTTTTCATCCCTCCAACTCCCATCAGCCCCACACAGGATGCCCAATGGCCAAGGATCCCATGAGGGGAGGATGGGAGCTGTTATCCAACAACGTTGGCTACCCCAGTGTGCTCAGCTTCAGGCTCTTCTGTCCTACAAACTAGGCTGAAATATTATACCCTGCCTGGCCACTAGGGGGATCAGCAATAACTTTTCAACTACAGGTACAAATACAGGGTGAGTCCGTTAAAAGAGGTCCTGTGGATACAGAGTACACATGTTCCATGGGGCCTCTTTTAAAAGATTCACCCTGTATAAATTAAGCTCGGTGCAGTCACCTATTGTCTAGTTCTGGCACACTTGGAAAAATTAACTGTACCTGTACACCACACCATCCCCTCCTTAGACAGTACAGTGGTACCTCGGGTTAAGTACTTAATTCGTTCCGGAGGTCCGTTCTTAACCTGAAACTGTTCTTAACCTGAGGTACCACATTAGCTAATGGAGCTTCCAGCTGCCACCACGCCGCTGCTGCACGATTTCTGTTCTCATCCTGAAGCAAAGTTCTTAACCCAAGGTACTATTTCTGGGTTTGCGGAGTCTGTATCCTGAAGCGTCTGTAACCTGAAGCGTATGTAAACCGAGGTACCACTGTAATGCGTATTGCTTCATTTACTTCACAGCTGGAAGAGCCATAGTTCACAGGTAGAGCATCATGCTTTGCATGCAGAAGGTCTGAGGTTCAATCCCTGCACCTCCAAGTAGGATTGGGTGAGATCCCTGCCTGAAACCCCGGAGGAGCTGCTACCAGCCAGTGTAGACAATAATGAGCTACATGTGCCAATAGCCTGATGCAGTATAAGGCAGTTTCCTGTGTTGCTGAAGCCTTGCTGTGTCCGGGGGCCCTCCTGCTCATTCTGCTTAGTGTAACTCTGTACATCCAGCCCAGAGTCTTTCCTTGATGGCACCAATGACTCCTCCTCCAAAAGGTGTATAGAGGAGCACAGCTTAAAGGGGAAGCCACCCCTTGACCTCTGTGCAACTTGTGGAGGAAACAGCTGCAGCGCTGTGCTAAATGTATCCCAGCATGACTCCAAATTTGTAACCACTGGGGAATGCAAATCCCATACAACTGTAAAAGGAAAAATAAACTGCTAAGATTTTTTTAAAGCATGTGAAGGCTGTCAGCTGAGCAAAGACTGCTAGAACAAGGTGGTCCCCAGGGCCGGATTTAGGTTCAATGAGGCCCTAAGCTACCGAAGGTAATGGGGCCCTTTAAATGTGATATTTTAGGGAGCAGGCTAGCAGGCGCGGGGCCCATTACTTACATCGCAGGAGCCTACAGAACACAAAACACTGTTGCTATATGTAGGTTTTGTTTTATTTGTTTTTCATCTTATATTTTGGAAATGTACATCCAGTTTGTTTTTTCCTTTAAATTTTTTTTGGGGGGGCCAAGAGAGTGAGGCCCTAAGCTATAGCTTGTTTAGCTTATACAGTGGTACCTCGGGTTACATACGCTTCAGGTTACAGACTCCGCTAACCCAGAAATATTACCTCGGGTTAAGAACTTTGCTTCAGGATGAGAACAGAAATCATGCTCCGGTGACGCGGTGGCAGCAGGAGGCCCCATTAGCTAAAGTGGTGCTTCAGGTTAAGAACAGTATCAGGTTAAAAACGGACCTCCGGAACAAATTAAGTACTTAACCTGAGGTACCACTGTACATAAATCTGGCACTGGTGGCCCCTATTTAACTGAAGAAGTACCTTTATGTGAAAGTAGAGTACAGTGGTACCTCGCGTTACATACGCTTCAAGTTACAGACGCTTCAGGTTACAGACTCCGCTAATCCAGAAATAGTACCTTGGGTTAAGAACTTTGCTTCAGGATGAGAACAGAAATTGTGCTCTGGTGGTGCGGTGGCAGCAGGAGGCCCCATTAGCTAAAGTGGTGCTTCAGGTTAAGAACAGTTTCAGGTTAATAACGGACCTCCGGAACTAATTAAGTACTTAACCCAAGTTATACAACTTAAGAAGAACTGCTTGCTCCTATATAGGGCCCAGTATAAGGCTGGCTGTTGCTGAAGCAACATTAGAGCTCTGCTTCCCTCCCCTCCCCTCCCCAACACTGTATCTTTGTTCTCTTCTGGCATTTAATGTGAGCCTTGCACAAGGAAGTTTAGCATCTCCTAGCTGTGGCAGAGGTCAATGCTTGCAGCAGGACAACTACCTTCTCTCCACAACCCATTATTTGAGTACTGAGCCCAGCAAAATCTCTCTCTCTCTCTCTCCCCTCCCCAACAAAATATTTCCCTTGATTGTTGAGAGAAAAGAATAAAACTTGGTGTCTACAGCCTACTGTGTAATTCTGTTTACAGAGCAAACAAAAGCCTAATCCCCGCCCCAGAGGGGGAAGAGGAAAAGATGCAATTGACAGCACTCACAACACATGAAGCAGCAGCTCTCAAACACTGAGAGTTGTTAATAAAAAGAGACTTGCTGGTTAGTGACTTTAGGCAACTTCACAGTCAAGGAGAGTTAAGCAGACAGAGGGCTCATCCACAATTCTTCTCGTCCCCAAACATCAGTCGGGTTTTCTGTGCATTTATGTTTGTTCTGATTCAGTGTTAATCAGTGGGCTAAAAAGGAGCAAGGTAAATGAAAAACCATTCAGGCTCGTGCCTGGAAAGCATAGGACAAGTGGAAGTTTGGATGAGCCCAGGGAGCGATGCATTTGAGAGATGGCTTGGGGTGATGGGCCAAAGTTTGCACACAGTACAGAGGAATGCAAGCCTGCCTTACAAGAGGGTTGTTGCAAAGATGAATGAAGGTCTGCCAAGTTCTTCACACATTCTAAAGTGTGCTGTGCTAGACGCCAACAGCAATACTAGGTTGGTGTTGTTCTCAGAGGTTGAGGTTTGAACCACACTCCTGCTGTGTCCTCACTAGGAAGTCTGCAACAAAGCCACTTTCAGCTTCTTGTCTGTGGGGGGGGGGGAGATAATGACAATGACCTACCCTAGAGGGTTGTTGTAAAATGGTTATAAAGGGTAATGTGAGCAAGCAGCAGGAACTGCTGGATCCATGTACAGTGGACGCTCGGGTTGCAAACGTGATCTGTGCGGGATGCACATTCACAACCCGCAGTGGCATGTCTGCGCATGTGCGGGTTGTGATTCGGCGCATATGCGCATGTGCAAAGAGTGATTTAGAGCTTCTGCGCATACGCGACAGCCAAAACCCGGAAGTAACCCGTTCCAGTACTTTCGGGTTTCGGCGGTCCGCATCCCAAAAAAACACAACCTGAAGCATCTGTAACCTGAGGTATGACTGTAAAGAAGCCCATAGCTCAGTGGGTAAAAGCCTCTGGCATTGCATGCATAAAGCACCACTGTCAACCCCCTGGCATCTCCAGCTAAGGGCATCAAGCACAAAGGCTGGGGGCTGACTTCATCCCCAAGGCCTCAGACAGAAGTTAAAAACTCCAGCAGATACTACTACTCTTCCCAAGTCACCTTGACTCTCCTCAAGTTACCTTGGTCCAAGAAGTCTTGATCAGAGAAACAGCCCTTTTTCCCGTCAAGATTTGCTCAAAATGCCATTTCTGCCCCATTAAAAATAAAAAAAAAGTCTTGATCATGGCAGACAGGAGTTCAGTGTATAAAACTCTAGAAACCATTCAGGGCTTACTTCATTCCCAGAAGCCCGAACAAAGGGCTCAGTGTCTCCCCACACAAAAGCTTTTCCTGAAATTTGTTCACAGCTAAAAATACCTCTGAGAGAAAGTCATTATGCCTAGAGGCTGCTAGGTCAGATTCCACCTGTAAATGCCCCTCTCCCATTGTCCCCTTTGTCCAGGGAGGGAGACAGGCAGGGGCTTAGGTGGGAGCAGTGAACTCAGTGGAGAGATAGCTAGGAAACTTCTTGGAGAGCGTCATGCCTTATTTCTGCAGAAAGCCATATGGAGCTTTCATTTAGAAAGAAAAGAAAACTGAGCAGTATATATTGAGGGTCTGCCAGTGTAAGCAAGGCTTAGAGCAAGATTTTCCGGTCGAGCCCCTCCCCCTGCTCCAGGCACAGACAATAAAAGCAACAAATATTTTGAAGGATGATTTGTTGGTTTTTCGTCAAGTTACACACTAATTTATCGTTGAGGTAATTGAGATACAGTGGTACCTCAGGTTACATACGCTTCAGGTTACAGACTCCGCTAACCCAGAAATAGTGCTTCAGGTTAAGAACTTTGCTTCAGGATGAGAACAGAAATCGTGCTCCAGCGGCAGCGGGAGGTCCCATTAGCTAAAGTGGTGCTTCAGGTTAAGAACAGTTTCAGCTTAAGAACGGACCTCCGGAACGAATTAAGTACTTAACCTGAGGCACCACTGTACTTGCACAGATTTCACCAGCCAGCAAGATCAGGAAAGGAGGGGTTTTAAAGATTGTTTAAAAAGACTGAACATGCCAGAGCTACAATTCCCAGTAACCCTAAACTACCAGGAATCCGTTTTAATGTGTAGTGTGTACGCAGCCTCAATAGTTATAGTGGGAATTCCTTGCAGATTACCACAGTGCCTGGAGACAATCAATCCACAGCAGTGACCAGAGGAGAAATGACCACCGGGAGGAGAGCAGAGAGAAGAAACGCCATGATGCATCTGCACCAGCACAACCAGCCACCTTCAACTGCCCCAGCTGCAACAGAACATGTCTCTCCCATTTCGGTCTCTACAGCCACAGCAGGTGCTGCAACTCTCCAACAGTTTGACTTCATCCCCAAAGATGCACTCCTCCATTGTCTCCTGAGACAGACAGATGCCAACTCAAAACACACACACAAAGGCTGGGGACAGTCTGACCTATAACTCCCATCCACTCTAAAACTTGGGGCTGATAAGAACTGGAGTCCCTCAGCATCGAGGGGGGCCAAAGGTCTCCCAGCTTTGTTTTCCTTTAATTGCTGGGAGTGTGGCAGGGATAAGGCTTGTTCTTTTTATTGTATGTACAGTTGGATGAGAGTTGGGGGTTTGGGGGGGGATTTTGTGTTGTATATCATTTTAATTTGGCTTTTAATTAATTTTATCCATTTTAATTTATTTCATTATTAAGTGTCACTGAAACATCTCCCCCCCCCAATAACGCGATTAACCAATAAAATAACAAGCCAAAAATCCTAAGCTCTGAATTCTCTGCCCATTGACATTTTTTCCCCTGTGATGCTTTTTATTTGATTTTCTTTCGTTATACAATTACATATTCCAATCTATACTTTAACTTATGTTAAGTGTAAAACAAATCCAAATAATATCCACATTTCTTCACCCGTGACTTCCCACAACCACACTGCAGCTTCTTCTATTCTATTTTCTTTTTAGTTGTGTTGATTACCTTTGTTATCTCATTTACACACAATAAATAACATATCTATCTGAATTTTTACTTTGTGAAATTTAGTCAATACATATCAAGGGTTTGATTTGGGAACAATGTTTTATAATATATTCTTCCATACTTTCCCACTCTTTTAAGTTTTTGGTTTGATTGTTGCCCAATTACCATTGCCATAAGGCAGTTACCTTTGATGTCTTGTTTTGTGTGCCTGCTAAAAACACTTCTGTTTATGCACACCTCCCCAGACATGTGAAGTTGACATATATTTTAATCCATATTTTTACCTTATAATGCATACTTTTAATTGTTGAGTTTACTCGTTCTGCTCTTCTTAAGACTTGTTTTTTTGCTGACAATTCCAATGTTGATAGACTTTGTAAACTGCTTAGAGGACTTATATGCAGTTAAGCGGAATCTATCTTTTGTTAAAATACTAATAGTAAAATACACACTGATAGTAAGCTACTAATAGTTGTAACAAAACACAAAAACTTGCTATCCATCTTTTGAAATGGCAATAGAAATATTTGGCCTCTTTTGACCCTGATGGTCAAAATATAAGCAAGAAATATAAGCAAGACCCTTATATAAGCAAGAACCCTCTCCCCTAGTACTACATCCTTCGCCCTCTCCCCTCTGAGGTGCAGATAAGTCTGTGGGATAGAGGCCAAGTTTCCATGGCTTTGAATGCAAGCATATCTCTGCGCCTTTCCCATCCCATCCAGGTGGCTGCTACCTGCCTCACTGGCCACACTGCTGAATTGTTCTCTAGAATATAATAACAAGGCACAGGTTGGATGCTTTGGAGGAGGCGATCTGGTTTCAGAGGAGAAGAGACACTCGAAACATGAGCAGCAAAGGTAACTTCATCATTTTCTGTGAGGGAGGCTGTTTGGGAGCTGCAAGGAGCCAAGAGTGGCCAGATCCTGTCTACTGGGGAAGAAGAGCTGCATTCCGTGGAGCAATAGTCAAGGGGCTTGGAACACCCACTTGGGAACAAAGCAGTTTATTATGTTCCTTCTAGCTCAGTACAGGGCAGGCTTCTCCCAACTATTTCAGCCCCAGGACCTACTTTTAACCCAAACTTGCATTGGGGAACCACTGCTTAATCCTTTACCATATATTTACATGATTATAGTAGGGCTGAGAATGTCCTCTGTCTGAAACCCTGGAGAGCTCCTTCCAGTCAATGAAGACAATACTGAGCTTTATGGACCAATGGTCTGACTCAGTATAAGGCAGCTTCCAGTCTTCCTATTCACTAGTCATCTGCCCACTAACCAGTTAAGACTGCATATATTCAAACCTGTTTTGGCCTCTGCATCTGAAGGTGGAAAAGGAGAATGAGATAGAAAGCTTATCATTTGAAGCAAAAGCAAGCTGGTCGTATCCACTGCGACACTCCTGTATCACTTACACAGTCATGGCTTCCCTAAAGAATCCTGGGAAGTATAGCTCATTAAGGGTCCCAAGAATTGACTGGAGACTCTGTATCTCCACCACAGAGCTAAAGTTCCCACAGTTCCTTGGGAAGAGGGACTGAGTGTGATGACCTATCCTGAAATTGTACCTCTGAAAGGTGCAATTTATTTATTTTTAAACTTGAGGTAACCTTTTCCCCTTACCTTTTAAAAATTAAATAATAATAATAATTTTTTTGTATGGGGCTGAGGGCCGGAATGGATATACTCCCAAAGCCAAAAATCCACTTATATTAATAATCAGTAAGTTGTGGCCGTTTCTAATCCAAACCATTGTCTGCTTGAGTTTATTATTCATATCTTACATTTAGCCGCTGCCCAGGGAGGGGGGTGGCACTGTGACTGGCCCCACAATAAACTAACCAAGCAACTTTGTGGTGAGTTCCCCTACCGTTTTTTCCGGGGGGGGGGGGGAACAATGGTGAGGTGAATAGGGGTCTCTTGACAACTTTCAGAACTATGGTTCTCAGGGTTCTTTGAGGAAAGTGGCTTGAAAAGAAGCAGTCTTACATTCTCCATTCCACGAGTGAATAAACCAAAGGCTTAGTTGAACTAACAAGCATACAACCTTACTGGAAACCAATTTGGTAGTGTATGGTGTGTGTCATTAGGTACACACACACACACACACACACACACACACACACAAAGAAACTTGGCACAAATGACGATGCAGCAAAGTCAAAAGGGATAGCTGTGTGTGGAGCAAACAGCCCCAATACAAAACTCCCTCTGCTACCAACCCAGCGAATCTTACTTTTGACACGAGGGAGGGAGGGAGGGAGACTTCTACCCAGTTTCACATGTGAAAACCCACCTGTTTATACAATAAACCAAGAACCACCTGTTGGGTCAGGCCTGCATCCTGTTCTAGATCCAGGTGCCAATTAGAGGAGGTGGGAGTGAGGTAGGGAGAGCCAGGAGGGCCTTTGGGCCAGAGTCACAAGTTTAGACATTTGTTATATATTTATACACATCAGCCCAAACGTGATGCACTCTTTCAGCTTAAAGCTCCAAATTTCAGCAAGAAGACATGCAAGAGACATGCATTCTTCCCCCCACCCCCGTGAGTCATCAATACTTTTTTTTTTTAATGGCCAGGGGCATTGAAAGCTGGAAGTGGCACAGGCCTCTCTGGACCTCCGAGAAGGTCTGCTGATGGACCTCTGTGGTCTGAGTCCGTCTGGTGACTCAGCTCTTGTGCATGTAGTAAGCTGCTGTTGAGAGGTTTATGTGACGCACGAACAACTCCACCTGGTTGCAAATGGAGGTGATGTCAGAGGAAGGATGGGAATTTAGACACAGAGGAGTAGACATAGCCAGGCTTCTATCTGCACACGTGGCTTCAGCTTGCTGTCTGAAGGCAGGGAAGAAGGAAGAGCCCTTTTTGGCTTGCTTTCTGGAGTGCAGACAGACTACCCAGCCAGTGGGCCAGTGTTGCTTCCCCAAAGACTCTGTGAAATGTTTTACAGGAACTAAGGAGGTCCAGTGTGCCCAGAATTATCAAGTTCCCATTAACTTGGGACCAGTTTACCTGAAAAATCACCTTACCCCATAAAGGCCTCTCCAACCGCTCCATTCTGCAGAGCAGGCAGGTGCCACGTAACACTCATTCCGCATTTTAGGAAATCAATCTTTTAGAGTGGCTAGGGAGCCCAGCCGGATGGGCGGGCTATAAATAATAAATTATTATTATTATTATTATTATTATTATTATTATTATGTGTGGCAGCACCTGCACTTTGGAACTCCCTGCCTATTTACATCAAGCATAGACTTCCACCATACGCTTTTCAGTGCCTGCTAAAAACATTTCTGTTTAGGCAAGCTTACCCAGACAGATATGGGACGTGGGTGGCGCTGTGAGTTAAACCACAGAGCCTAGGACTTGCCGGTCAGAAGGTCGGCAGTTCGAATCCCCGCAATGGGGTGAGCTCCTGTTGATCGGTCCCTGCTCCTGCCAACCTAGCAGTTCGAAAGCACGTCAAAGTGCAAGTAGATAAATAGGTCCAGCTCCGGCGGGAAGGGAAACGGCGTTTCCGTGCGCTGCTCTGGTTCACCAGAAGCGGCTTAGTCATGCTGGCCACATGACCCAGAAGCTGTACGCCGGCTCCCTTGGCCAATAAAGCGAGATGAACACCGCAACCCCAGAGTCGGCCACGACTGGACCTAACGGTCAGGGGTCCCTTTACCCTTACCTTTACCCAGACATGTAGAACGCTGACCTGTATTTTAATCTGGTTTTAACCATTTTTGCAAGTTTAAATTTTCTTGTTTCGAACTGAGTTGGTTTAAAAAAAAAATCAACAAAACTGGTTTTTATGTAAACAGCTTTGAGGTTCTTTTGTTTTTGTCTTGCAATCAAGTACAGTAGTAGTAAAAAATGAAAAATGAAATAAGTAAATATGAAAAATGAAAAAATGAAATAAGTAAATAAAATAAAGTTTGAGAACAGTCCGGGACCAGAGCTCAGTGGCAGAAGGTTCAGCCCATGGCATCTTTAACAAAGAAAGATCAGGTACTGAGAAAGGCTTCTGCCTGAGAGCTGCTGCCAGTCAGGGTTGGATGAACCAACTACTGGTATGTGGCAGCTCCCCCATGATCCTAGGAGACTCTGGTAATCAATTCCATTCTCTTTTTAAAATTATTGCTGTTATTATGTATGATCATTATCAGTATTAGTAGCAATAAGTACCAGCAGCCTCATAACCACCCAGAAAGGATCACAACAGCATCATCAAAGGAAGCACTTCTCATAAAATAAAAACAATATTTTTAGACCCTGCACATCAAAAGCAACTAGAGCAGCTTCAAAAGCAACTAAAAACAACTCACCATAAAAACACAAAATTACCAAGCGTTAAAAAAAACAAAAAAGTAGGGAAGAAAACAGCAACCTTTTAAAGAAAATTAAAGAATAACCAGCGGTGCAGTCCCCAAAAACTAAAGTTAAGGGTTGAGGAACAATCCCTTGGAGGGTGGCCACTTGTGCATTGGGGAGGGGGGGATGAGGGCAGGGGAGGAAATAGGGCTTGCCGATCAGAAGGTCAGCGGTTCAAATCCCTGTGAAGGGGTGAGCTCCCGTTGTTCAGTCTCAGCTCCTGCCCACCTAGCAGTTCGAAAGAACGTCAAAGTGCAAGTAGATAAATAGGTACTTCTGGGTTTGCCATGTGCGTATCCTGAAGGATACATAACAAGAGGGGCACGTAAGTAGAGGTACCACTGTATATCTCAAATAAAACATAAAACCATATAATAAAAACCACATTTAAAATGTTAAAAAGAACAATTACACCTACAGCAGTCTATGCAGTCTTTGCATCTCCGGGACCCATCAACTGCATTGCTTTCCCATAAAACTAGTACAGTACTGGGACTCCATTTCCCATCATTTCCAGCCATTGTGGCCAATTTTTAGGGATCATGGGAGATATAGCCCATCAACATCTAGAGGACCAAAGGTTCCTTTAGCTCTGCAAATGAGGCTGTGCTAGGGATGTGTCTTAATTGTGTTTAAGAGGGTCACGTGATTGCACATACTTTCCCCTTGCTCACATATCCAATTCCCTCTGTTTGCCTAACTGGCTAGTTATCCCTGGCTACTTGTTCCATCACGTTAACAATGGTTAACACCAGGCACAGGCAAACTCGGCCCTCCAGATGTTTTGGGACTACATTTCCCATCATCCCTGACTACCAGTCCTGTTAGCTAGGGATCATGGGAGCTGTAGTCCCAAAACATCTGGAGGGCCAAGTTTGCCTATGCCTGGTTAACACTGATCTGGGCTCCCACCCAGGTCCTGCTGTCAATTAGCAGAACTGCAGTAAAGATAGGACTGATGTAACCATTAAAGGTTAAAAGAAAAAGAAAAAAGGTAAAGGACTCCTGGACACTTAAGTCCAGTCAAAGGCAGCTATGGGATGCAGTGCTCATCTTGCTTCAGGCTGAGGGAGCTGCCGTTTGTCCACAGACAGCTTTCCAGGTCATGCGGCCTGCATAACTAAACCACTTCTGGTGCAACAGGACTCTGTGATGGAAGCCAGAGTACATAGAAATGCTGTTTACCTTCCCACCACAGTGGTACCTATTTATCAACTTGCACTGATGTGCTTTCAAACTGCTAGGTTGGCAGAAGCTGGGACAGAGCAACAGGAGCTCCCCCTGCTGCGGGGATTTGAACCACTGACTTTCCAATCATCAAGCCCAAGAGGCTCAGTGGTTTAGAGCAAAGTGCCATCCACTCCCTCTAATGTAACCACTAAGCCTGGTTAAGAGAAACCACCTACAGATTCATCTAAACTTACTTCCTCTTGTAAGCAACAACGCTCCGAATTATCTAGTAGTTTGTGAGCACCACGGCATGTTTTCCCTACAAAACCAGAAGACAGTGGCCACAGAGGCTGTTTTTCGCTATAATACTAGATCTTGGAGGTTACCTAATGAAAACCTAAAGACCAGGTAAATTCAGGGAAGGCAAAATAAATCGCTTCATGCAACAAGCAATTTATAGAGGAACTAGGTGTCACAAGGTGTGACGGACACAGGTGGCTTCCAAAGGGAATTAGACAAATCCATAGACGAGATGTCTAATCAATAGCTTTTGGCAAACAATAGCCAGGTAGAACCCCCATGTTCAGAGGCAGCATGCTGACAAATTATCAGCAGAAAGATGCCCTATAGCCTCTCAAGAGCCAGTGCCCTTTAAAGAGTCAGAGCCCAGCAATCCAGATTCAGACTAGAATACCCGTCTGCTGCAGAACTTGCCAAAACACTTGGAAGGATGAAATCTTCAGCTGGTTTTTTCCGTTTTGCTCTGGGCATTTAAAGGCAGAAGAGGAACCTCCTACTGAAAGCAACAACCTGAAGTTTGTTCTCTCTCTCTCTCTCTCTCTCTCTCACACACACACACACACACACAGAAACAGGGCTCTAAGCAAGATCCCAAGGCCATCTGCAGCAGCAAAGGAACACCGCCTTGTGGGGCTTGAGGATCGAAGATGGAGCAACGCTTTGGCTCAGGGTGTACAAGTAGCTTCCCCTCACCTTGCTTCAAAGTCCGCAGTCAAGCAGAAGTTGCCAAGCGAGTCTGGCTGCTCCCTTTGGCCACATTTCCCATTTTTTTCAGTGCGTCATTTGAAATTCCTCTGCTCTTACACACCCTTCCCCTCCCCTCCAGTGTACATTTACTAACAAAGCACCACTGTGCAGCAGTGGCTGCTGCTGTTTTTCACCGACTAGTTTCGATGCTCAAAATTAATCTGTGCCCTTTGCAACCTGTTTGCCAGCCAGTGGAAGGCGCCGCTCATTCAACCCTAGAGTGTCTCTGGAATGTGGCCAGGTCCCCCATCCACCTTACACCATGGATCTGTGCCAAGTGGCTCATTAACAGGAATCTTTCAGGTGGGCTGGGGCTCTTTTCAAGAGGAGGCAGCCCCCAAAGAAAGATGCTGTTCCCACCAGGGAGGAAGCCATTGTGCCCAGAAAAGCGATTTTTTTGTACTAGTTAAATGCCCTTCCTTCTGAGGGACAGGATGTATGCAAGAAGGAGAACTTGCATTATTGCTGGGAGCACACTGGTTCTCTTTAATATGATACTGCCTTACATTGTACATGGGGTTTCTCTCTGCTTCTCTGAACTAGCAAGAGACAAATGATTATAGTGGTACCTCTGGATGCAAACAGGATCCGTTCCGGAGCCCCGTTCACATCCTGAAGTGAATGTAACATGCAACTGTGCAACTGCGTGCATGCGGGTTGCGTTTTGCCGCTTCTGCGCATGAGCGTGACGTCATTTTGAGCGTCTGCGCATGCGCGAGCGGCGAAACCTGGAAGTAACACGTTCTGTTACTTCTGGGTTGCCGTGGAGCACAATCCGAAAATGCTTAACCTAAAGCGTATTCATCCAAGGTATGACCCTTCACCCTAAGGTCCCAGCACAGGTTACAGCATTAAAGCACAGTATTATAAGGAATTTAAAATTTAAAGCGCACAAACGTTTTGCTTTTTCCAAGAGTTCTTGTTAAAAGCTGTATACCCAGTGGAATTAATCTGAGCCTTGAAAAGCATATAGAGCCGAAAGTGGAAGTGGGAAAGGGTGTCACTCTCTCAACTTCCTCCTTCAGCTCAGGACTTGATCTCCTTCCGCAGGGCGTGTAAGACAGAGCTATTCCGCCTGGCCTTCAATCTGAATTAGCCTGATCCTCTATTCCCTTTTCTCTTCTATGAAGAAACCCTTTCTGGGACCCCACATTTAAATTCTTCCCTGGTCTCCTTGCTGGCCCTAGTAGGACCAACTTGGCCAGTTAGCCCTGGTGATCATTTGACGTCTACTGCCTGGGTTCCCCCCCTGCCCAAAATGACCCCAGAATTTTTGAATTTTATTGATATTGATGCTGCATTTTACGTTGTATTTTATGCTATTTTTAATCATTGTTTTATATTTGCTGTTAGCCGCCCTGAGCCCGATTTTTAAACCGGGAAGGGTGGGGTATAAATGAAATAATAATAATAATAATAATAATAATATGCACTTCTCAAGTGTGATGGTGGAGAGGTAATGCCCCTCAAAACCAGTGCTTTAAAAAAGAAGAAAAGGTGTCAGTATTCACCACGAAGCTGTTACAGCAAGTGCTACACTTTTAACATTTGGAAGAAAAAGGTGCCGGTACTGTGAAGTTAAAAAGCAATACTCACCACCAAGAGGATAGTAGGTGGGGAGTGGGTGGTGGGTGCAAGTGAAACACCTCAAGGGCTATCACTCATGACCAAGAGGACACAGGGGAGTGGGGGACTCAAGAGATTCATGGGCACCAGAGGAAGACCCTCTTAAATACAGAACCTTGCCAATGCTCAATAGTTCCTCCGGCTTCCAATCCGTTTCCAGTCCCAAGGTTCTGGTGCTCATCTCTAAAGGAGGTGTGGGGAACCTCTGGCCTTCCAAGAGTTTGTTGAACTGCAACTTACATCAGCTAAAGCAAGCATGGTCAGTGTGGCCAGGGATGACAGGAGGACCATATGCTTCTTGCACCTGCTGTAAAATCCCACATGGTTTGGGACCTGCCCACTCCCATTACCAACCCACCTGCAAACCAAGGTCACCTGCCAATGCTGTATTCAGGATGCCCTGCAAGATGCAAGGCAGGTGGCAACTAGAAGGGGAAAGGCAAGAAGAGCATTTTCCACTTGTTAAGCTCTTCCCCCCTGCCAAGCAGACACCTGGTTTTATAGCATCTTCTAATAAAAGGCGAAAGGGCCAATGGTTTGACTCAATATAAGGGGAGAAGCACAATGGCGTCATAATACCGGGGTAGGGGGAAAACAGACTGTAGTTTGACCCATTGCATATCTACCCCTCCCCCCTCTCTTCTCCAAGGAGCTCAAAGCTAGCCTTACTGGTTTCCCCCCTCCTCATTTAATCCTCACAACAACCCTGTGAGGTAGGTGAGGCTGAGAGGTAGTGACTGGCCCAAGGTCACCCACCGAGCTTCATAGCCAAGTGGGGATTTGCACCCAGGTCTTCCAGGTCCTAGTCTGACACTCCAAAGGCAGAGTTAGAGACTTATGCATAGCTGTGCTTTGACTTTTACCAGCTACCAGCAAAAGAGTTTGAGACCTCTTCAGGAGACAGTACAAGTCCCTGCTGCCACACAACTGTTTCAACAACCAGACCCATCTACATCCAGAGTTTCCTCCTCCAATCATACCTTTATCAGCCATTGAAAGGGTTGTATTGAAGTACTGCTCCTCCACAGTCCACGCAGTGTCATTTATTTTGCTGGAGACCCCACAGGAACCCACACAGCTCACCTTGATAGCTGGAAAGGAGAAGAGAAGAAGAAGAGGGGAGGAGAAAATATTAGCTTTCTTGGCAAGCCAAAATAAAGAGTATCAGTATTTATCAGCATATCAACTTAGGAAGCTGCCCAGTGCTGAGTAAGGCAATCAATTCTCTGAAGTTGAGGAACCTTGTGGCCCCCTAACTATGCTCTGTTAGAAGTCCAGATGTTGCTGGCACCGAGCTGTGACAGGGTGTTCTCGGTGTTTTAAAGCAGTGGTACAAATATACCCAAGGTTCCTCTAATACAGACCTGTCCAACTTTTCATACCAAGTGGGCCACAGTAACTGCCTTGTGGGGAGGGACAGGAGTGAGGTCAACATTTGATGCCCCTCCAGCCCTTGTGCTGCCTTCCCAAAGCTGAGTAAGTGAGGCAGCAGGCTTTGGGAAGGAGGCATGAGGCTCTGGCACGGTCCTAGAGCCCTCATGCCTCCTTCCCAAAGCCCAGCATCTCAATAACCAGGCTTTGGGAAGGCAGTGTGAGGGCAGTGGGCCATCAAATGTTGCCAACGGCCACCAAAAAAGTCCCCATGGGCTTTGTGCTGGGCCACCCTACCCTAATACCATGTCTGTATGCCGTGTTAAGAGTGGGACAGAATGAAGAAGTTCTATATTGCCCAAAATGTTCTTCTTGTGTCCTGCCCCAAATGATGAACATACAGACTTGGCACTGGAAGAGATTCTCTCTCTCTCTCTCTCTCTCTCTCTCTCTCTCTCTCCCCTCCCCTCCCTCCCTTTCTCTTTCTCACACACAAACAAACAAACACGCACTGTACTTGCAACCCAAATATTAGAATACGGTATTTTTTCTCTATAAAGCAATCACCCAATTTATGATTTAGGTACGTCTCCTAGCAACGCCTTTCTCTCTTATGCTATTCTTGGCGGGGGTAGGCTGGGAGGGTGGAACCAAGCAGTTTTTAGCACATATCCAATAGCAATGTCCTTCACAGTGTCCTGGCAGCTTGTTGACCCAATAGAGGGTTCTGTCAGTACCATGGGGATATTTTGTCCACGTGCCCCTGCACCCTCCAAAATCTGCTGCAGATGGGTGGTAGGGCAGAACAGCATGACTGGGGACAGAGGGAATAGGCGAAAAAATGGCTTCCCACTGCAGTGCTGCTGACAGAATCCTCCGCTGGACCAGACAGCCATCTGTCAATAATGCCACCCATTGCAGACAAAGCTTAGTACGGAGTTTCAGTTAAGCAGGTAGGTATCTAAGCCACCAATTGTGCTCCAAACTAAGTCTGCAAACCAGCTCCAAAGTCCCAATGAATTAAATCAGCTTTTAAGTTAGATACCCACTGCTTTCAGTGAATGCCATGTCAACTAAAAAGGATAGGAAGCTGCCTAACACAGAGTGAGACCCTTGGCCCATCAGCTCAGTAGTGTATACACTGACTGGCAACAGTTCTCTCTGGGGCTTCAGAAAGAGGGCATTCCTAGCACTCCCTGGAGATGTCTGGGATTAAAACCGAGACCTACTGCATGCCAAGTTCACTGAGCTGCAGCTCTTCACCCACATAGCCAGGAAATGTATGCCAAGCTACACCCTCATTGCAAGGAAGCGAAAGCAGGAAGAAAACAACACAGAAATCAGTTATGAAGAAATTATGCTTTTTTTAAAAAAAAAAAAATCACATCCATAATTATTGTTTGCATCTGTCTGTCTTGAGAGACAATAGAGTCTGCCTTTGGGGATGAAACCAAACCTCTGCATTAGCAGCACTAAAATGACCTCCCTGGAGTGCAAGCCTGGGCAGTGTGTATGGAAGTCTTGGGCGGCCCAGATGACAAGACACCCCTCTCAGCCTCACTGATGTGGTCCAAAGGAAAGCAGAGCGATACATTTGGCACCAGCTTGGCTGCAGAGTTGCCAGAAGGAGGTATACAAGGTGTGCCACCCGACCACCCAATCTTCTCCTGCAAGGCAGCAGAAGTTTAGAATCAGAGTTTTCCTTCTCCTAGTGGGGCTACCTTCCCAGGTTGGTGAGCCCCATCTGCCCCGCACTTCCCTCTACAGCAGCCTTTCTCAACCTGTGGGTCCCCAGATGTTGTTGAACTACAACTCCCATCAGCCCCAGCAAGCATGGCCAGAGCTCAGGGATGATGGGAGTTGTAGTCCAACAACATCTGGGGACCCACAGGTTGAGAACCACTGCTCTACAGCATAAGTTGGCAAACTAAGGCCCCAGGGGCCGGATCCGGCCCAACTGCCTTCTAAATCTGGCCCACAGGCGATCCAGGAATCAGTGTGTTTTCACATGAGTAGAATGTGTGCTTTTATTTAAAATGCATCTCTGGGTTATTTGTGAGGCATAGGAATTCGTTCATTCCCCCCCCCCCCCCGCAAAAAAAATATAGTTCGGCCCCCACAAGGACTGAGGGACAGTGGACTGGCCCCCTGCTGAAAAAGTTTGCTGACCCATGCTCTACAGCACATGCAGAAACTGCCTTCCTGACCATTGGAGCCACTCTTGGTCTTTTTGCCCACTGAATCTTCCAGAGCCTGTCTTCATGTGCACAGGAAGAGCCTAACTCACCAAGGATTTCAGACCCATCGGCTGCCCTCACCTGGTTTAGCCAGCCAGTCGAAGCCATTTCCTAGGGTGTGGCTGTTGCTATAAGCTGACAGCTTCCAGGAGCCCCAGGTGAGAGATGAGTGCAGAGTGGGGAACAAAGGTGGGCAAACTGACCTAGAAGAAGCACAATTTGCTCCCCACCAGAGATACAACCCCTCCCCTAACACCAGTGCTAGAAACTGGGATAGGACTGGTAGGAGCCGTGGGGCTCATGGGACCTAGGTTGCTGGCCCCAAAACAAAATGTATTTTTTTCCCCCTTCTTTTGCCCTGCTACCAGACCAGGCAGCCATGCAGACACCCCCCCCCCAATGCTGCTGGGTGAATTAAGGTGGTCTGCTGATTTTGCCACACCTTTTGCTATGGCACTACTGCACAAAAAACATGATTCACCCGGCAGCGGGGGGGGGGGGGAGGGGATTTGTTTATTTAACTTGCTGCTGGGCAAATCAGGGGGTCTGCAGGGTAGCAGCAATTTATTTATTCATTTATGCTGCCAGGCAAATCAGACGTTTGGTGGGGGTAGCGCGACAGCAAAAGGCGCAAGGTCTTTTGCTACCACTGTGCTCGACAGACCAGCTGATTGCAGCCAGGCAAGTGGAGGTGCCAGGCACCGAGGGTGGCGCCAGGACATTTCGATCCAGTCACAAAAGGGGATTTTTAAAAAAGAGAACTGGAACTGATTACCAGAGTCTCCTAGGACCACGCAGGGCTGCCACATACCATAGTTGGTTCATCCAGCCCTGGCTGGCAGCAGCTGCCCAGAATCTCAGGCAGAAGCCTTTCTCAGTACCTGATCTTTCTTAGTTAGAGATGCAGGATAATTTCAAACACTGCCTAACAACCCATACACCTCATTATTTCTTTCTTTCTTTCTTTCTTTCTTTCTTTCTTTCTTTGTTAAATTAATTAAATTTTTATACTGCCCTTCATTCGAGGATCACAATGTTTTAAATATAAAAACACAAAAATACATAGCATAGTAACAAACAAAAACAAGAATACCACCCAATACAGTTTAAATGGCCATAGATTATTTAATTAGCCAAAGGCATGGGGAAAGAGGAATTGTTTTGTCTGGCACCTACAGATTAATAATTATAATTATTATTTATTATTATTATTATTTGTACCCCGCCCATCTGGCGCATCTCTCCAACAGAGATTAAGAATACATTAAAATGTCACACATTAAAAACTTCCCTGAACAGGGCTGCATTCAGATGTCTTCTAAATGTCAGGTAGTTGTTTATCTCTTTGACATCTGATGGGAGGGCGTTCCACAGGGCGGGAGCCACTACCGAGAAGGCCCTCTGCCTGGTTCCCTGTAGCTTTGCTTCTCGCAGATAGGGAACCACCAGAAGGCCCTCAGCGTCTGGGCAGAACGATGGGGGTGGAGATGCTCCTTCAGGTATACTGGGCCGAGGCTGTTTAGGGCTTTAAAGGTCAGCACCAACACTTTGAATTGTGCTCGGATATGTAAGGAAGGTGCCAGGCAAGCCTTCTGGGGAGAGCATTCCACAAATGGGGAACCACCACAGAAAAGGCCCATTGTTGTGTTGCCAGTCCTCTGGACCTCTTGTGGAAAAGGCACACAAAGAAGGGTCTCAGGGGATGATTTCAGGATGCAGGTAGGTTTCTATGTGGAGAGGGACCACATTTCAGGCTTCATAGGTCAAAACCCGCACTTTGAATTGGGCCCCAAAACTAATTGGCAGCCAGTTCAATTGGGCCAGGATTAGCATTATATGCTCAAATCACCTTGCCCTGGTGAGCAACCTAGCCACTGAATTCTGCACCAGCTGAAGTTCCCAAACCATCTTCAGAGGCAGCCCCCTGTATATTGCGTTGAAGCAATCCAGCCTAGAGGTTACCAGAGCATAGAAAAGAGAAGTTAGGCTATCCCAGCCTAGATAGTGGCACAGCTGGACCACTAGCCAAAGCTCATTGAAGGCACTTTACACCACTGAAGTCACCTGAGCCAAGAGACAACAATAGATCCAAGCTATGTACCTGCTCCTTCAGAGGGAGTGTAACCCCATTCAAGAGCAGGCAACCTCCCTTCCATCCTGTCTAGTGAACCACCCGCTATTCCAGTCTTATCTGGGCTGAGTTTCAGTTTGTTGGCTCTCATCCAGTCCATTACTGAGGCAAGACAATGATCCAGCACATCCACTGTCTCACCTGCAGAGGTAAAGTGGAAGTAGAGCTGTGTGTCATTAGCATACTGCTGACAACATACTCTAAACCTCCGAATAACCCCACTCAGTGGTTTCATATAGATGTTAAACAGCATGAGGAATAAAATTGTACTGAAGGCTCCACGGGGCTGAAGAACACTCCCCAAGCATCACCCTCTGGAAACAACCAGACAAGTAAGACCAGAACCACCATAAAGCAGTTCCACCTACTCCTAACTCGGACAGCTGCTCCAGAAGGATACCATAGTCAATGGTACTGAAAGAAATGAAAAAGAGAGAATGTTTTGAAGTCGTGTTGTCATCCTTCTTACAAGGAGCCATGGGGTTATCCCATGGGGTTTCAACTTTTTTGAGTCCACGGCTTCCTTGACCAACTACATGATTTCTGCAGCACCCCTGTGGGGCTCAGGAACCCAGTTATGTCACCCTTTGCCAGCCAAGCTGGCAGCCTCTCACCCCTTTTCGAACACCCTCCCTTGTGGAGTGTTTCCTCAACCTCCTCTCCCCTCTCCCTGGGAGTCCTCTGGGCAGGCACTGCTGCCACCCCTGGTATCTGAGCTGCCCTCCCCACCCCAAAGAGAGGTGCCTCCTCACACTGCCCCACAGGGGCCTGGGAAGCACCTCCTGGCCATCCCCAGAAGCACTATTCACCCAGGGAGCTTGTAGCCAGGGCTGCTGCAACTAACAGCTGTGCAGGCCTTTTGGAAGCAGAGACTTGAGAGGGCATCAGAGCAGGGAAGGTAAGAGTGGCAGAGGCCAGTGTTGCCCATGGCATCTCTGACCATCATTCAAGGCACCCTGGGGTGCTAACAGCATACCGGTTGGAAATCACTGGGTTAACCCATTTTGTTCTCAACCACCTCCAATACTCAGCCTAACCACTACACCACACTGCCTCTCAAATGGGATTCTGGTTTTTGTTTTTTGTTTTAATTCTGCTTGTGTATTACTTTATGTATTTCTATCCTGCTGCAACTTATAAGGGGCTTCTGAGAAATCTTCCACCCAGCTGTCAACCACTATACACCTTGAGCCCATTTTCTGGGTCTTAGGATTACAGGTGTGGGTGATGAACAGTGCCCAATTTTTGCTGCTCTCCTTTAATCTGTAAGAAGAATATCAAGTCTGGTTCCAGACTTCTGCAACCCAAATAGCAAAGATTTCCTTGATTAATTTTCTCTTTTGAAGCCTATCTCTAATATACCTTTACAGGGACAGTGTGTTTTACACTGATTTATGTTATGCTGTATATCGGCATTCTCTGGCAATAAAAGACAGCATTTAAGTAATGCCCCATCTGCACTATGCATTTTAAGCATCATCATAGCACTTTAAACAGCCCTGGCATCCTGTAAAGAATCCTGGGAACTATAGTTTGCTAACAATGCCGAGAGGACTCTCATTTCTCCTCACAGAGCTACAGCTCCCATACTTCCTTGGGAAGAGCAACTGGCTGTTATGAACCACACAGGTAGCTCTTTGAAGGAAATGGGGATCTCCTAGCAGCTTTTGGCACCCTTCGTGAACTACGATTCCCAGGAATCTTTGTGGGGAAAGCCAGAGTGGTGTGACACTGCTTGAAAGTGCAGTGCAGATGGTGTTCTTGTTACTATTTTGAAGTGCAGGCAAACAAACACGTTTGAGCACAAGAAGGGCTATAGCTCAGTGGTAGAGGGTAGAGTGGTAGAGGTAGAAAGTTCCAGGTTCAATTCCCACTGGCATCTCTGGGTAGAGCTAGGAAAGTCTGCAACCTTAAACCCTGGAGAGCTGCTATCTGCTAGTGTAGGAAATGCTAAGCTAGAGATAGCATTGACTCAATAGGAGGCAGCTACCGATGTTCGTTCATTTCCAGCACTAAAAGGAGCATCTGGGTTGTGGGCAGCAATGCCTCTACATCACCCACCCCTTCCAAGACGATGGAAAGCCAGCACCAGCACAAGGTGCATGAATTCACCCATTATTTTTAACCCAATGGGGTTTTATTCAGCAATCAGGCAAAAAGGAGGGGGAACAAACACCCGGGCCACCTGGAAATGTGGCAGGAGGCCCAACCTGGCTCAAGATGGTTTGCCAAATCAATCTGCTGCTGCTGCTGCTGCTGCTCACCAGAGCGGTGGGTTGCATGCTTGATCAAAACAGCAAGCCTTGAGTCCTGTAGGGTAGGCATGAGATTAGGGTTGACAGAAATGGGGGGTGGGCGGGGGTGGGACACACAGCCTTTCAAAGAGAAAGGACTGCCACAGTCAACTCTACAGTTCCTTAGCAACAGACGCAGAGACCCTTCGAGTTTGTGACGACGTCCCACCACCTCAAATGGCTATAAGTACAAAAGGGCATGGCTGGCTTGCAGCCCAGAACCAGACCACCTGCCCGTCTGTGTGCTAACCAGAGAGCAAACTTGCAGAGCCACAGCCATACTGTGACCCTGCTGCTCCCTGCAGATGGTATTCTGACAACACTCACATTCAGACAGTAAGGGTTACCCTCACCTGCAAGCTGGTCCAACCCCTCTGTCATCAAACACTGCTAAGGCCACATTCACACAATATGTTTAAAGCACTATGACACCACTTTAAACAGTCATGGCTTCTTTCAAATAATGGGGGTCTTCTTTCAGCATCCTTAAACTCCAGCTCCCAGATGTTTGGGGGGTAGGGAGTCATGACTGTTTAAAGTGGTATCAAACAAGGTGCGCCCCCCCAGCCAAGGCAAATAAAGGAACAGGAAGAGGGGAGGAAGAGAAACTCCCTGGTAGATAGGGTGCAGAATCAGTTGGTGCCTACTAGACTGGTAGGGTGGAAAGCAAGGAGCCCAAAAGTTGTTGGTGCCAGAACCAATGATAGGAGGACCCAGAGTCAATGAGCCAACCAATCCTAGCTTTGTCCCCATCTTCCTCCCTGCTGAGTTCTACTAGGACTAACACTCTTCCACACTTCCGCTTGTTCTAGTTCTAGAAGGAACAGGTCCGAGCAGTTTTCTGTTTGCTCCACTGCTTTCCCTGGAAATCTTGCTCTTTAAGCACTGAATTGGAGCAAATATGAATCTGTGGAAAACCCAACTGATGTTTGCTCCAAATCAGCAGTAAAGATGGGGTCTTCCTTGGGGGAAAGTGGCAGGAGAAGCAGAAGTCTGGATGAGCCCTCAGGAGGAGAAGGAAGCTGGCCACCCCCTGAGCTAGTTTGTAAGTAAGAATGGCAGGCAGACAAGGGGTGACTGAGGGAGGACTGAGGATGTGAGGCAGTGCCCCATTCGCTTTAATGAAGCAGCCTCCAGTGCTGTAGACAGTGCTGATGACATGGGTTCTACTCCACAAACATTATGCCCCAATACCTGTTAGTTCATAAAAAAGTGCTGTGTGACCTTTTTCCTTTTCTTTCTTTTTTTGGCAACAACAGACTTACCACAGCAAACCCTCTGAAAGTCTCCCTCCTAGGCACTTCATTCCAAAATGAGTAATGCACTTCATACCAGCCTGCAACACAAAGCAGTGGAGCAGGCTGCTCTGGATTGTGTGCAATGGCTACAGGGAACTGTGTGGTGCCTCTGGGGCAAAGCCAGTGCAGCAGACACTCCATCCCTCCCCAAGCAAGAGGACAATGTTAGAGGGATGCAAAATGCTGATTGAAGGTCTAGTTTGCAGCTGTCTTTGGAAAGCAGGCACAGGGGGGGATCACAGAGAGCCAGAGCTCATTGTGCAAAACCAAACAGGGAGCGGACCAACTTTATACCAATTCTATGCCAGATAAGAGAACCGATCAAGCGTTTGATGCGCCACTCAGGTCTGATTCCCAAACAATCTGTTCTGGGGCTGTCCCCAAAGGCTTTTTCAAAAAGTCCTCTCAAGAGTGCTAGTTCCAGGAGTTGTATCCAATAGTCATTCCTAATGGGCATGGCTAACTTTGGTCCATTGGTTTCAGTGGGTCTACTCTGAGTAGAATGAAGATTGGGTACCATCCCAAAAGACACCCTGCATAACAGGCAGTATATGTCCTGGGGTAAAATCCTAAAAAAGGCTCAGCATTTTAAAAAAAAAAAAAAAAAAAAAAGCTCAACAGCTTCAATCCTAAAAAACAGCTCAACAACTTTGGGGTTAAATAATCCTAGAAAAAGCTCAACAACTTTAGGGTAAAATTGTAAAAAAAAAGCTCAACTTTGGTCGGCCCTCACACATGTTCACTTCATCAAATCTGGCCCTCTTTGAAAAAGCTTGGGCACCCCTGTAGTGTATAAGTTATCACCCTATATAAGTTAAGTTTATATCATGCAACATTTGTGATTGTAAGTTGTTTGAAAACAATTTTTAATATTGTGTTTTAATGTTATAACCCGCCCTGGGACTTAGGGTGAAGGGCAGGTAACAAATTGTTTTTATTGTTAATCTAAACACAGTTCCAATACAGATAAAGACTGGGGAAAACATCTACTTAAAAGGCTCACTGGAAGAGGAAGGTCTTCACCAGATACTTAACAGAATGGAACTCTAAATCATCACAACTACCAAGGTTGCTGAGAATCACAAGTACTGGCTGTTGCACTCAGGTCCTGTCTGTGGGCTTCCCATAATAAGCATCAGATTGGCCACTGTGAGAACAGGATGCTGGACTAGATGGGCACTGGTTTGATCCAGCAGGGTCTCTACTTATGTTCTTAACAACAATTGGTTATAAATAAGATGCAAGGGTCCAGGACAGTGGCATGCGTCAGTTTATATGAATGAAATAAATTTTAAGCTACAGTCAAACGAGAGTAGATAAAAACATGAGAAATGGCAGCTTAACAATGAGGACCCATAAAACACTCTTAAAAACACACAGCAATTTATTGTGGCACCAGCTTTGGTAGACTGGAGCTGATTAATTTAATGCACTCTTAGTTCCCTAAAAACTTGCCACTTCTTTGACAGAATAAATTGTCTAGTCCTGCAACGCCTCAATATTAAGTTGCTATTCCTCAATTTTAATCAACTCATTTCTCTTTGGATGACCAGCATTCACAAGACACGGGAGGGGTTTTGTGAGACTGCAATGAGCAGCCAAAAGCTTACGATTCCACACTCACCCACTTCAAATCTCAGCAAAATAACAAACTGAAGCTGAGCACAAGGGACAGGGCACAATCGCAGAACAGATCTGCTGACCAGCTTCGATATTTGGCTTCTCTTTCTCTGCCTAAGCTCCCCCCACCTTTCAGAATCCACTGAGCAAATGGGAGAGAGATTATCTTCAAACAGCAGGACCAACACTGCAAGACACCACGGCTCCACTGACACCATTGTGCAGCTTTAACAACAAAACATTAATCCAACATGACATTAGAAGTCACAAAGGTCTAAAAGCATTGGTTCCCGAAAGGGGTGGTACTGCGCCATGGGGGACAGTAGGATTACCTTGTGGGGTGGGGAGCTAAAAGGCAAGGGGGCAGCAAGAGGGCACGGGAGGTATAAGTGACTATCAGGCTTTGAAAAGCTGGTATGACTGAGTCAAGTTCATCAGTTTTGTTGAGTTAATTAAACTGAATAGTTTTAATTGAATTTTGAATAAATCTATGATTATTGGTTATTGTTTAGTACCGTATTTTTTGCTCCATAAGACGCACCTGAACGTAAGACACACCTAGTTTTTAGAGGGAGAATGCAAGAAAAAAAATATTCTTTAAAGGGAGCGCTGAGCAGAGCCTGTATGCATCCCAGGCTCTGCTCAGCACTCCCTTTCACGAGCCGCAAGGAGCATGTGTGCGGTGCTTGCAGGCTTCTCCCTCCTCGGGGAAAAGCCCCCAAGAGCCACACACACGCTCCGCGTGGCTCTTTAAAAAGAGCACGGCTCTTGTGGGCTTTTCTGGGAGGTGGGGGAAGAGACTGAGGGGTGGCCCTCAGCCAGCAACAGCCACACGAAGCCTCTTCAGGGCAGCGGGATGAAGGCTCCCCATGCCCTGAAGAGGCTTCACGCAGCTAAGCCAAAAGCTAGAACAGCAAGAGGGAGCGCTGCGCAGTGATCCCTCTTGCTGTTCTGGCTTCTGGGATAGCCACACAGTCTGCATTCACTCCATAAGACGAACACACATTTCCCCTTACTTTTTAGGGGGGGAAAAGTGTGTCACATAGAGCGAAAAATACGGTGTTTTCTTGTGTTGCTATCTTCTTTAGTGGGTCATGCAAGCTGCTATTCTGAACAATGCTTTTTATTGGGCAGAGGACACTGGGGATGAGTTTGTGGAACCAAAGAAGGGGTGGCCCAAAAATGTTTGGGAACCAGTGCTCTAAAGAGACACCCCCCCCACCACACACACCCATCTACTCCTATTATCAGTTCCTAGCACCAGGACAGATCAAGCTCCCCAGCCACCCTTGATTATTTTGCAAGTCTGAAGGAAACTGTTTTGTACACACTCATAGGCCTGTTCATGTAGCTAGGATGGAGTGCAGTTTCTTATCCTGCCCCAATTGTGATGACTGGTGATTTGGAGAATCTTTCCAAGTCTTTTTTTCAGTGCCTGAGGGCGGGTGGGGTCAGAGACAAAAATGGGTTGAGCAAGGGATGTAAATTTCACCTTTGTACAGTCGGCTACTTTCTATGCAAATGCATGCACACACACCTCTTTATTCTCCACCCAGGCAAGCAAGCACAGCATTCAAGGACACATTCCAGACAGGCAAAAGAGCTCTCAGGTTGCAAAGCCAGGTTGGTGAGGTGTGAGTTCCAAGGACCAAACAGAGAGGCCTTGAGGGCTGCATTTTGCCCTTGGGCCTGAGGTTCCCCACCCACAATCTAGGTTTACTTCTACACTGGGCACTCAACACAGAATTGCCAGGCTCCCTTTTTTCTGCAAGACATCACGAGCAAATCATCTCCCTCATATTCACCTGTTCAGTGATTTAAATGTATAGTGCAGCTGGGGGTGGGGGTGGGGAATCATTAGTTGGGTACCATTGTTAGCAGTGGTGTTTTTGTTTTTGTTTTAAGGAAAAAAAGGTGCTGGTACCATGAAGTTGTTACAGTAAGTGTGGCACTTTTAACATGGGGGGGGGGGGACTGCATACCCTCGAGAACCGCCAGAAAAAAAGGACTGGTTGTTAGGACCAGAGAATGCTGGTACACAACATAACACAAGTCAAACTGAAAATATAGGTGTCACTGAACGTGAATTAGCAATAGCTGTTGGCTTGTCCAGTAAAATTAATGAGGGGAAGGCTGTTATTTGAATTAAAGAAATATGGAACTAGAGTAGCTATTCCACTCACAGCTTAAAGGAGAGCAGCAATAATTGGGACACTGTTCAACATCCACACCTGTAAGCACCTTTGGAAACTTGGATGCAGCTGAGTCACTCTTCTGCCACAGGTTCCAAAGTCCAATTCGCACATCATGCATGTTCATGAGTCACCAATGGTAAACATGAGTGGAGTCATCACAAATTCCTCCCCCACCGTCAGAATGTTTAAGTGTTGCTGCCCCATCAGCTTAGCACCGTGTTCAGATGATGCACAAGCAAGAGGACCCATACAATCAGAAACAGAGCATGTGGTACAACCCTACTTTAGAATGCAGGTGGAGCAAGTCACATGTTTGAGTGCTGCCCCCCCCCCCCATTTAAATGCAGCTTTCAACAAGTTTCCACATCCTGGGACATCACACTAATTCTCCACCGACTACCCAAATATCCTAGCCATTGATTTCTTTTGGGGTTGGGCACAGAGAACCACAAACCTTTCTGTAGCAAAAGTCTTAGAATCATAGAATTGTAGAGTTGGAAGGGACGCTGAGGAATATTTAGTCCAACCCCCTGCAGTGCAGGAATCTCAGCTAAAGCATCCATGACAGATGGCCACCCAACCCCTGCTTAAAAACCTCCAAGGAAGGAGAGTCCACAACCTCCCAAGGGAGACCCTCCACTGCCTAACAGCTCTTACTGTCAGAAAGCTTTTCCTGATGTTTAGTTGGAATCTCTTTTCTTGTAACTTGAAGCAATTGGTTTGAGTCCTACCTGCCAGAGCATGAGAAAACAAGCTTGCTCCATCTTCCATGTGAAAGCCCTTGGGACATTGGAAAAAAGCTATCATAATTCCTCTGTCTCCCCCTTTTCCAGGCAAAACATACGCAGCTCCTTCAACTTTTCCTCATAAGGCTTGGTTTCCAGATTTTTTATCATCTCGCACACTTTCCAGTTTGCCAACAACCTTCCTAAACTGCAGCTCAGTGACAAATCATCTGCTTTGCATGGAGAAAATCCCAGGTTCAATATAATAATAATAATAATAATAATAATAATAATAATATAATTTATTATTTGTACCCCACCCATCTGGCTGGGCTTCCCCAGCCACTCTGGGTGGCTTCCAACAAAGATTAAAAATACATTAAAATGTTACACATTAAAAACTTCCCTGAACAGGGCTGCCTTCAGATGTCTTCTAAATGTCAGGTAGTTCTTTATCTCTTTGACATCTGATGGGAGGGCGTTCCACAGGGTGGGTGCCACTACATAGAAGGCCCTCTGCCTGGTTCCCTGTAGCTTTGCTTCTTGCAATGAGGGAACCGCCAGAAGGCCCTCGGCGCCGGACCTCATTGTCCGGGCAGAACGATGGGGGTGGAGACGCTCCTTCAGATATACTGGGCCGAGGCCGTTTAGGTCAACACCAACACTTTGAATTGTGCTCGGAAACATACTGGGAGCCAGTGTAGGTCTTTCAAGACCAGTGTTATGTGGTCTCGGCGGCCACCCCCAGTCACCATTCTGGATTAGTTGCAGTTTCTGGGTCATCTTGAAAGGTAGCCCCACACAGAGCGCATTGAAGTAGTCCAAGCAGGAGATAACTAGAACATACACCACTCTGGCAAGACAGTCTGTGGGCAGGTAGGGTCTCAGCCGATGTACCAGATGGAGCTGATAAACAGCTGCCCTGGACACAGAATTGACCTGCACCTCCATGGACAACTGCGAGTCCAAAATGACTCCCAGGCTGCGTACCTGGTCTTTCAGGGGCACAGTTATCCCATTCAGGACCAGGGAGTCCTCCACACCAGCCCGCCCCCTGTCCCCCAAGAACAGTACTTCTGTCTTGTCAGGATTCAACATCAATCCATTAGCCGCCATCCATCCTCCAACCACCTCCAGGCACTCGCACAGGACTTTCACTGGTTCTGATTTGAAAGAGAGGTAGAGCTGGGTATCATCTGCGTACTGATGGACACCCAGTCCAAACACCCCAGCGGCTTCATGTAGATGTTAAAAAGCATGGGGGAGAGGACAGAACCCTGAGGCAACCCACAAGTGAGAGCCCAGGGGTCTAAACACTCATTCCCCCCCCCCCCACTGGCATCCCTGGCATCTCCAGATAGGGCGGGGAGAAACCTCTTGTCTGAAATCCTGGAAAGCTGATGCCAGTCAGTATAGAGGGACCTAGAGGGGCCAGTCGTCTGACTTGACATAAGGCCTTTGTTCCAGCTCAAGGGATCATGGGGAGAAGAGGTGAGGTATTAAAATTGGAACCTGCTACCAATTTCTTGCTAGCTTTTAAAGGTAAAGGTAAAGGGACCGGTGACCATTAGGTCCAGTCATGACCGACTCTGGGGTTGCAGTGCTTATCTTGCTTTATTGGCCGAGGGAGCCGGCGTACAACTTCCGGGTCATGTGGCCAGCATGACTAAGCCGCTTCTGGCGAACCAGAGCAGCGCACGGAAACACCGTTTACCTTCCTGCCAGAGTGGTACCTATTTATCTACTTGCACTGGTGTGCTTTCAAACTGCTAGGTTGGCAGGAGCAAGGCTCGAGGAACTGGAGCTCACCCCGTCGCGGGGATTCGAACCGCCGACCTTCTGGTCGGCAAGCCCTGGGCTCTGATGTTTAACCCACAGCCCCACCCGTGTCCCTTTGCTAGCTCTTACTCCAGAATAATTGCCACAGGCAGCGTTAAAAAGCTATTTATAAAAGCAATTCCAGCATTCCCACCCCCAAAAAAGTTGGCAGTTGTTTGGGTGTTCTTTCGAAAACACCTTCATATATACACACACACCACTGCCAAGGCAACTTGGCACACCTCACCCTAGCCAACCAGACACTGCCTTAGCTGCTGCGACAAGAGGAGTGAACCATGCTGGGTTGGGACAGGGGTTCAGCCCCCCCCCCATGCATGACCTCAGGCCAAGGCTGCCATCTCTGTCTATGCCACAAGGCAGGGCAGAAATGCAAACTGAATGCAAAAATCTGAAGCCAGGGTATGAGGTGAGGGCTTCTCTTGCCTGCTTTGGCGATTTCTCACCAAGCCTACCCAAGAGAATTTCTCTCACCACCACACTACCCAAAGTGTTAATATTCACAGCTCTGATCCTAGAGAGAGAAACAGAACATAGCATGCTGAAAGAGGCAAGCCAGCCCGCTCCCTTGTTTTTGCGGCCCCCAGCCAGAGAAAAGACCAAGATGTTCCAGGAGCTGCTGAGTCAACAGTCCCTTCCCAACTTCAAGGCATCTGCATTTGTCCAAGGCCATCCCTGTGTAGGAGAGGAGGGTGGTCCTGGCTCCCTGGCTCAGTTGGCAGCCTGCTTTATAAAGGTTCCTTGGTTCCCGTTAGCCAGTTGAGAACTCAGAAGCCCATTCATATTGCTCCAAATCAAGAGCATGGGGAACTTTTTTCGGTCTGTGGCAACATGTTCTTCTAGGAAACCTTTCAGGAGCCATATGCCAATTGTGGGTGGGCCAGATGCAAAGCCAGGCAGAACAACTCATGTAGATTTGTGGTACGGAAACACCCCAAGGGTATTTACCTATTTATTAGCCAGTGGTATGGTGGTTACAGGCCCCTGCTGGGAACTGGGAGACCAGGGTTCAAATCACCAGTCAGCTATACTGAAGATCACTGGGTAACCTCTTGTGAGTGACTGTCTTTCAGCCTAACCAGGGTTGTGATGAAGCATGTATGCCACTTTGAGCTCATTGGAAGAAAAGTGGGATATAAATGCAATATATGTGTATCTTTGTAAAATTTTACCCTGTTAATGCAGATGCATCACTTAGGGTAGCTTATAACAGTTAAACTCACAGCATCGTTATAAAAGCAAACACATATATATATATACACACACGTATTTTTTAAAACCATACAATACAGAACATGAGTAGGCAAAACTGATTACAAACAAAACTCTAAGATAAAAAGATGGTGATATGCCCGGCTGGGCAAAATCTACTACTAATTCTGACTTCACTAGCCTTTGGAAGGCAGTTAAAGAGGAAGCCATCCAAACTCAAAAGGGAAATAAATTCTACCTTGAGTGTGACTACTGAGAAAGGCTTATCTGTCATTACAGCCGGCCATATCAAGGGCCCCTCCACTATATCTGACTCCCAGCTCCCAAGCAGCATGGTTAATGGTGCCTACAAAGGAGGGATGTTAAGAAGTGGAGTAAGGCATCAGTATTGAGACCTGTGCTTTCCAACATATATGTAACTGTCCTGGTGTTGAGCTCCAAAAGGATCTCTCCAGACTGGGTGAATGGGCATTAAGAGGCAAATGCAATGCAATGTAAGGAAGCGTGGAGCAATGCATGTTGGGGGGGGGGATACAGCCCAGTTGCACATATACACTGATGGGGTCTGCAAAGGACAGTGTGACTCACCAGGAAATATATTGGGGCTATGTCGTTACAGCGGGTGGCTTGGCAGAAATGCTGGTCCTGTGTACAGCCACTGCCGAAAAGACAATTTCCATGTAAGGGATCGTTAGGATTGAAAAGGAACTGCTAATATTGTAACACCATTATACAAATCTATGGTGCAACCACACTTTGAATCCTGTGGTCACTGAATCTCAAGGAGGACATTGTAAGGCTGGAAAAAAGATTCAGAAAAGGGCAGCCAAGATAATCACTGGGTGAGAGGAACTCCCAATCGAGGAACAGTTGGGGCTTTTTTAGTCTGTATAAAAAGGTAGTAAGGAGACAAGGCAGAGGTATATAAACTGGACAGAGTTACATTTCCCCCCCCACCTTTTTCATTGTATTAGAACCTGCACTAATCCAATGAAGTTGAATATTGGAAGATCCAGGGCAAACAAAAGGAAATACTTCACACAACACAGAATTATAAACTGGAAATTTGCTGCCACAGAATGTAGGTGATTGCCATCAACTTAAGATGGCTTTAGCAAAGGATTGGGGGTGGGGGTGGGGTTACACAAACCCATGGAGGAGGATAATGGCTACTATTCCTGATGGCTGTGCACCAATTCCAGTACTGGAGGCAGTATACCATATTTGCTCAAATGTAATGCACACCTTTTTTGGCCAAATTATGTCATGAAAATTAGGGTGTCCATTAGATTTGAGGACGTGTCTACATTCGCCAGCAAATACTTTTTTGGTTTCAAGGTGTGCATTAGATTCGATGGTGCATTAGATTTGTGTAAATACGGTAAAAAGGTACAGGTAAAGGACCCCTGACAGTTAAGTCCAGTCGCGAACGACTCTGGGGTTGCAGCGCTCATCTTGCTTTACAGACCGAGGGAGCCGACGTTTGTCCGCAGACAGTTTTTCCAGGTCATGTGGCCAGCATGACTAAGCCGCTTCTGGCACAGCGGAACACTGACACCAGAGCAGCGCATGGAAATGCCATTTACCTTCCCGCCAGAGCGGTACCTATTTATCTACTTGCACTTTGACATGCTTTCAAACTGCTAGGTTGGCAGGAGCAGGGACCGAGCAACGGGAGCTCACCCCGTCACAGGGATTCGAACTGCTGACCTTCTGATCAGCAAGCCCAAGAGGCTCAGTGGTTTAGACCACAGCGCCACCTGCGTTCCCCTGGTAAATACGGTATATGCCTCTAAATGCCAGTTGCAGGGAATCACAAGCTGCTGTTTCCCTCAGGTCTGGCTTGCAGGCTTCCCATTGGGGCATCTGGTTGGCCATTGTGAGAACAGGTGGCTGAACTAAATGGGCCTTTGACCTGATCCATCAGGGCTATTTTTATGTTCTTAACCCAAGATACAGACAGTGATGGCTTCACCACCAGCTAAATATATACTTTCACCCTCCTCCTTCCAGAAAAGCATAAGGCATCTCCACAGCCCCCAAGAGTGGCTGGGTCAACCCAGTCAGTTGGGCGGGGTATGATGGTGATGTCCTGGGGTGCATCATAGGGCCAAACAGAAAGGTTTGGAAATGCCACAATTGGCCCCTGGAACTGAGGCTCCCCAACCTTGATCACACCTGATGAAGATTTCTGGAAAACTCAAGGTATTCCCCCAGCCATGTGGCTTTTTGGTTTGTTTCATACAATTATATGCCACTTGGTTGTAAAAATAAATAAATAATAAATATCTCAAATCAATTTACAAAAAGAATATAAACTATAAAATCATCAGCAAAATTACCAATCAAATCTTAATATTCTTGTGCACCTGATGAGCCACAGATTTTCCACCTGTTTATAGGGACAGAGGAAAACTCAAGAAGATATGGTGGTTTTGGTTTTTTTCTATATATATATATATAGTAGCACGGTTTTATCTGTTAACTACAGAGAATTGCCTTCAAGTCACCTTATGTCCAAGAAGTGGATAACTTTAAAAACAACAAAATAGTTCACTTTTCACAAGGTCAAAGTGGGTTATTAGCTCCCCATTCCAGATTCCCACAATCTGGGGACAAAGCACGCTCTCCACTATAACCTGTGGAGAGACTTATTGGACTGAATTCTTTAAGAAATGAATATACCGTATTTTTTGCACCATAACACTCACTTTTTTCCTCCTAGAAAGTAAGGGGAAATGTCTGTGCGTGTTATGGAGTGAATGCCTACGGGTGGCGGGGGGGATCTGCTGCAGTCGTGAGCAGAGGATCCATGGTTCCCCTTCCTTCCCTCCTCCTGGCTTGCTTTGAAACAGCAAAGCGGGAGAAGAGCCGCTGAGTGGGGAGGAGAGAGGGACAGAGAGCCTGCTTGCTTTAAAGGAGCAAAGCGGGAGAGGAGAGGTAAGCGGCTCCTGTCTGGTTGGCTCCTTTAAAGCAAGCAGGCTCTCTGTCCCTCTCTCCTCCCCACTCAGCTCGCTAAATAGCATTATTAGCAGCATCCTTCTCCACACACCCCATGCATGCTCCTTGTCCCTTGAGTGCTTTTCCTTCCCTCCCCACTTAAAACGTGGTTACAAAGCACAGATCCACATGGATCCTCAGGATTTTTGCACTGGGTCACCCCAAATTCACCATCAGATCACATAGCATGTCCATGGCTACATCTTGTACCAAAAAAACCACACACCCACTGTTGCCTGGGGTCGCAGTGGTGCAAAAACGTGGTTACAAAGCATGGATCCACATGGATCCTCAGGATTTTTGCATTGGGCTACTCTAAACTCACTGTCAGATCACATGTCTGTGGCCACAGCATGAACCACAAAAATAATACATCCACTGTTTCGTTTAGAATATTTTTTTTCTTGTTTTCCTCCTCTAAAAACTACGTGCGTGTTATGGTCTGGTGCGTGTTATAGAGCGAAAAATACGGTACATGTCTGATACCTTTCAAGACTGTTATTTTCTCCATGCATCCCCATTTAGGGATCAGCCACAATATGATTGCTGTTGTCTATGTTTGCCTGTTGCATGTATTTCAGAAATAACAACAATACATTTTTAAAAGTGCAGAGGCTCGATAAGAAGTTGATACTTATATGACCTAACTATCCCATAGCCAATACACCTCCATGACTGAGGACCTGTCCCATGTGCAATGCAGAAGAACAATCTTCAGTAAGAGCCTGTTTGTTAGTTCTATGCTATTAAACCTGGGGTGACCCCAAAACACACTTAAAAGTAAGGAAGTGGAGGGATGCACCCTAAGCTTTGAACATCATCCTTTAAAAAAAAATTCAAAATTAAAACAAAACATATTATCCAGAAACATATCAACCTTATTTCCCCCCCCCCCCATTTTTCCTCCCTCCCTCCCCCCCTCCCTCCCACACACACACCCCCGGCTTCCCTCAGTTCCAGTCTTTGATTTCTCTGAGAATGCTGTTTTCTGCATGTTACAAAGTGGTATAGATCCTCAAACTATTTAGCTGATTATTATCAATAAAAAGTTTGTGAATGTTTATTCAAAGCCAGCCAAGGAGTCCAGTTCGCTTTGTTGCGTCTTCAAATACTTTGTAAAGGGTTCCCATTCACCTTTAAAGTCACAGTTATCCTTGTCCCATAGCTTTGAACAACATCCTATCCTACAATGACACAACCAAGACTGTATCCTTCAGGACAGTTGTCGTCAACCTTTTCAGACCCAGGAACCATTAGGAATAAGGAACAGAGAGACCCAGAATCCCATTGTGGTCCTCCACTCCTCTCTATCTGGTCCTCAGAACTTTCCCTAGATCACATGCCTCACCCCTTTTTTTCAGTGTTTTTGCCTGGCTAGAATACAGTCATACCTCGGGTTACAGACGCTTCAGGTTGCGCGTTTTCAGGTTGCGCACCGCACCAAACCCAGAAGTACCAGAACAGGTTACTTCCAGGTTTCGGCACTCACGCATGCACAGAAGCACTAAATTGCGCTTTGCACATGTGCAGAAGCACCGAGTCACGACCTACAAGTGCACAGACGCGGCGCTGCGGGTTGTGAATGTGCCTCCTGCACGGATCACGTTCGCAACCCAAGTGTCCGCTGTATGTCCTTGAATTCTTATCATGCCTCCTCCTTGTTTGGCTGAAGGATGGAGAAGGGTATGCAAGTGAGTGTAGAATTTTGGCTACTGTGCATTAAATGATTTACATTACTTGCTCCACCCACTTTTGCCTCTGACCCCACCAACCACTGACCTTTGGAAGCTTTCCCAGAAGGGAATGCGGCACCCAGGCTGGAAAAGGTTCCCTACCCTGGAAAGAAAACTTAGTGTTGACCTAGAGACAACACTGGGACAACTAGACAACACTGGGACAACTAGAGAGGAAACACTCTCCTAGCTCTGCAAGTGTATGGTTTCTGGTTGCCCAAAACATAGTGTATTTAGAAATCTATAAGGCACTGGGAGTATAAACCCCACCCTATGTACACTATGATTGGCATAGGGCAGTATTCTTGACATTGTCTTGCATGACAATGCAGAGTTAAGCTTGGTGTAATTTTGGAATATTTCATAGAAAATAATTTCCTGGGGCAGTAGGCATGTAATCCAATATCTTCTTTCAGAATGACTTGAACTGTGATTCCTGTGGAGTTCCATTGTACCTAAAAGAGCTTGCATGCCATGCTCTTGGAAATGGAGCTCCTTGTGTTTTCAGTAATCCTAAATACTTAGATTTGGAGTAAGGAGCAAAGGGGACCCCTGACCATTAGGTCCAGTTGCTGATGACTCTGGGGTTGTGGTGCTCATCTCGCTTTACTGGCCGAGGGAGCCGGCGTACAGCTTCCAGGTCATGTGGCCAGCATGACTAAACCACTTCCGGCGAACCAGAGCAGCGCACGGAAATGCCATTTACCTTCCCGCTGGAGCAGTACCTATTTATCTACTTGCACTTTGACGTGCTTTCGAACTGCTAGGTTGGCAGGAGCAGGGACCGAGAATGGGAGCTCACCCCATCGTAGGGATTCGAACCGCCAACCTTCTGATCAGCAAGCCCTAGGCTCTGTGGTTTAGACCACAGCACTACCTGCATCCCAGGGCCACCTGCATCCCGATTTAGAGTACACAGTGGCTAAAAAGCCCCCTTTCATGCTGATGGAACGGCTCTATAATGCTAGAAGCAGGGCCCCTGCTGCAGAAATAGCAACAGGTCTCTGACAACAGACCACAGCACAACTGGCTGTTGTACTAAAATTCTCATCCTCTCTGACCATGGGCCAGTCCGGTTAGAGTGTCACACCAGGTCCAAATGCCCACTCAGCCTTGAAGTTCACTGGGTGGCCTTGGGCCAATCACCACCTCTCAGTCTATCCTACTTCTTTGCAAGGCCATTGCAATGATACTTACCATCTCAGTTACTAGGCATACTCAGAAGAAATATAGGTTATAATTTGGAATAAAAGTTCTAACAAAGGTGGCCAAGAGATATTAGGGTTGTAGCCTGAAGCACACCTGCTAGGAATTCCCACTGAACATAAAGGGGCTTACTTGTGAGTAAACATCCTGAGGTTGAGCTATACCAAGTCAATTTACTAAGCCCCAGGGGGACTTACTCCCCCAGTAAGCATGTGGAAGTATTTGCTGTGCATGATGAAGAAGTACCCCTCCCCATTGGAACCTCACCTCCAACAGGGACTTCACTGAGCTGCCTTATTTTGATTATGCATTTTGCGTTTTTATATTGCGATTTTATCTTGTGAAGTGTGGGTACAGGTATATAAACTTAATAAATAATAATAACATAATAACAACTCAAGTCCAACCTACACAAGCTGCACTATGTGCTTAATATCATCAGCCTACCTGAGAGGGCTACTGTGAGAACAACTGGAGATATAAGAAAATCACTTTGAGCGCTCAAGAACTGAACTACAAATATCAGGAAGGGGGAAATCTCAGGACCAGAGGGCCAGATATGGCCATTCCTTCTCTGCAAGCCACACCCCCTCTTCCCAGACCACACCCCTTTCCACTCCTTGAGTGCTTCTGTGTGACTGAAGAATGGAAGATTGTGTGTATATGCAGACAAACCTGAACTATGTGACTTTAAAGCTCACCCCATTCCTGTGACTGCAGTCTGTTTTCACTGCTTTTAATACTGGATTTTAAATTATTCTAACCTGCCCTGGGACCTGCTGCTAAAGGGTGGGTCATCATAATAAAAATTATAGACTGAACTTGATCTTGGTTTTGGTGTACTATAGCCTACTGTACAAGCCATTGTTCCATTTACTTTTGGGTTCTGGTTGTGCCCGCCATTGTCATGCAACCCTTGGAACACTGCCTAGGAGAGGAATGCGGACCTCAGGCTGGTAGAAGTCTCCCTATCTGCTGATGAATATCATGGCATTATATCTCATTGGGAGAGGTTGAAAACAAGAAAACTGGAAGCTTCAAATCCCTACCTTGCAGATCCGCACAGTTGAAGGAAATCTACTTCCACATCCACTCCCAAAGTAGGCATCTGTTTTATCCAGGTTCCTCTGTGCCAGAGCTTTCCAAACTGTGTGTCGCGACACATTAATGTGTCAGGCTGCAGTGCGTAGGTGTGTCACGCAAACGTTCCCCACACTCCCTTCTAGGGCTGGGAAGGGGTTAGTTTAACCTCTGGTTTGCTAGTAAAACTGAATTACTGTGTCGTGAAATGATGCATGTCTTAAAAAGTGCGTCGCCAACATGAAAAGTTTGGAAAGCTCTGCTCTACACCTTCCCCAACCACCACCTGGCCACACAACACCCAAGCCTAACCTGCTTATCCAAGTCCACCATATGTTCCAATTTCCAGATGTCAATGCTACATACATTTCACACATTATGCGCATCCACGCAAAGGGCACAGCAAGTCACTCTGCCTCCAGAGGCTATTCATGCGTCTAATAGTGCAGGTATAGCTAGTGGTGTACTGGGGCCTGCCAGATGTTTCCAGACTTCTAGCTCCCATCAGGCCCAGTCAAGTGCAGCCAATGGTCACGGTTGAGTTGCACTTCAGCAACATCTGACGGGCACATTGGCTACCTCTGGGGTAGTGGCTAAGAGCATTGGATCAGAGCTAGGGAGCTTTGGGTTCAAATCCTCACTCAACAAAACTCACCTAGTCACTATGGGCCAGTCACCCACCTACCATGCAAGGTTGGTGGGAAGCCATAAAATTCAAGAAGTCAATGTAATAATATATCTTACCCAGCCTTTTTCTCCTCGTGCAGAAAAAGGTTTGTCCGGAGTTTATGCCACAGATAGAGCAATGATATACATGTCTACAACAAGTTGTTTTATGCTCAGTAGGGCTTACTCTCAGGTAAGCATGCACAGGATTGTGGCCTCAGTCAACCATCAACAAGGAGGGATGCAACTTGGACTTTTGGTATATTTGATTCATTCTGGCTCAGCTGAATATAGAAAAAGTTGTCTCTCCCCTGCAACCAATATTTCAGAATGCTCAGGGTTGCTTCTTATACATGTGGGGAAACCTGTGGCACTGCAGATGTTGCTGAGCCACAGCTCCCATAATCCTCTACTAATAGCCATGCTGGTTGGCACTGGTGGGAGTTGGACTTCAGTGACATCTGAAAAGCCACAGGTTGTCTCCTGCCCACCCCGCCTTAAACCAAACAGAACACTGTCCCCTTCCAGAAGACCACTCCCCACCCCAGTTCACACAAACTCCCTAACTGTGTTGAACACACTTAAGTTCTACTAAGAGAGTTCTGGGGTGCCTGTCACTCTCCTACTCCACCAAATCTGGAAGCATTGAGCCCATTAAGCTCAGATGCTTAAGATTACTCAAGCACTAAGAACTTGAAGCACTCTCCACATGTTCAGAAGCTCCTAACACAATCACGTCACAAGGCAAAGCATACAGAAAGCGGTTTTACCAGACCTGACCACTCACTCAGGAGTCAAGCCTCTGGGGCACTCCTTTCCGAAAGAATGCTGAAGAGTTAGCCAGACAATTGGGGGGGGGGGGGTTCCTTGTGTGTGGCTATTACTATTATTAATTTATTACCTGCCTTTAACCCTAGGGTCCCAGAGCAGGTTATAACACTAAAACAAAATGTCAACAACAGTTTAAAACAACTTACAATAATAAAAATGTAGGTCCTAAAGTATTTTAAGATTCATCCCACCACTTCAGCGGATCTGGGTGGGGTTAAGTTTTTTACCACCATAGACCTACAGAAGCCACACACAGAGAAACACACCCACATGGCAGCAAAGACATGGGGCAGAGGGAGACAGAGCCACAGACAACAGGAAAAAAGTTATCATTTCAGACAGGTAGTTGTGGGGTGTGGCTTATTTGACGTTAAGGCCTCCTTCAACGCCCCAAAATAAAGTCTCGCTGCCCAAAACCAGGCAAAGATACAATACACAGTCCCTGAGCATAGACAGAGGATATTTTCCTCAACCATAATTAAACTTCCCCCCGCTGCGCGCACATCAAAGCCACTCCTCTTTCTCCCCCACGAAAGAAAGTGGGAAGAAGAAAGTAATCCTGGCGCTCCACGGTGCGACTGTGAGCCTCGGCGCCTAATTGCAAGGGGGCTTAGAGAGTGAAAGAAGATGGACGACAGGTGGAAAGGTCCCCCCCCCACCACCACCCAAAAAAGTGTCCCGACAGCTGTGCACCCCTGCACCTATTCGCAAGCAGGCTTCGCGCAGAGGGTTAATGGGAATAGGAAGACGTGGAGAGGGTAGTGGAACGGACGTGGGAAACGGAGTCCCCCTCCCCTCCCGCTCCCTTCCTACTTGCTCGCTCACCGCGGTACTGGAGCGCTCCAGCCAGGCGGACGGTGACCGTGCCAGTCAGAGGCTCGCCGGGGCTGTAGACGACGCGGCTGTCGCCCAGGCGGATCTCGAAGAGCTGGATCTTCCCCATAGCCGAGCCGGGGCTGGAAGGGGTCGGACGATGGAGGCCTTGCACTCTTGCTGTCGCTACGGGCTCCTCTTTTTTTCCTGCTTCGGGACGACGGTCGGCGGCGGCTGATGCCTGCTGCGCTTTTACGCTCCGCTCTGCTCTCTCCGCCTCTCCGGGCAAAACTGCGGAAGGCGCAGCTCGTCTCTCGTTCGCTCTCTACCTGCTTGCTCAGGGGACGGCCTGCGCATGGCCGGCCCCTTAAAGGGCCATCCCGTGGCCCCGCCTCCTCTCCTCCTGCCTTCCTTAATCCTGGTGTTCAGCTTCAGAGGCAGCCAGTCAAGGAAACACTAACCCCGCGCCGCCGCTATTTACGCGTTTGGATTTCATCCCCGCGAGATGAGATGATGGGTTTATCTTGGAAGTTGGGTCTATGTTTGGGTCTCTGTGTGTTTAACACACGAGGATCAGCCGCATTCATAAGACGCTGTGCAGGTTTATCTTCCAGACAGAAGAGCTGAGGATAGAGCCTCCCGGCTCGGAAGCAGTCTATCGCCCGGCCGCAAGCAGCAGCGCCGTCAGGACAGGGCTTTGGGGGCCATTCTCACTCAAGTCCAGTGCAAAAGATACCTGCTGAATCTCTCAATCATCACCCCTGCACAGCTTCAGAAAACCACAGAATTAACAAGTTAACAGAAGTAAAATCTGCCATCCTATCTTACCCAGTCTTCTGCGCGGGGGTTGGGGGCACCTTAGTACTGAGTCACACCATCCGTCCCTCTAGTCAATATCCTGTGCATTGGGGGTGGGGGCTTTTTTCAGTCCGAGGGCCAAAATCACTTGTGAATTACCTTTCAGGGGCCATATGTCCGTGGATGGGCAGCGTCAAGGGCAAAAGTGGGCAGGACAATGGATGTGCTTCTTCCCTTTCTACAATAGACTACATTCCAGCCATTCAGAGCTGGAAGTTTCTCCATACTATAAACTTATAGTGGTTTTTAAGCGTGCAGTGCCCCACACTGGTGTGGAAGGAGAGGATGGTAAGTGTGGCAGGAAGATTCAGGGACAATCAAAGAAACATTAAAGATTCCCATGTAGTATGGAAGCAGTATCCATGCCTCTTTCCAAGAGCATTGGCTATTCTTCTATAGTTCTCCATGATGCATTGTTGGGAACAGGGATTTTCAATTCTGACAAATATTAAGGATCAGAAAACAGAAAGGTTTGTTTGTGTTGAGGAGATGAGAGTTTGTCTCAAGTTAGACCTAATATAAATGAGATAACCCAGCAAAAGCAAGTTCACGCCTCTCATTGAATGCATACTTTTACATATTTAAGAGGCTCGTTTGTAATTATATTTTGGGAATGATTCATGCCCTTATGCAGCTGCATTGTTTTATACTTTTTGGATGTCCCATGGGAAGGAACAAGGAGTATTTCCTTCTGTAAGTTATTGTAGGATCCAAGTGGGATTTGGGGTCTTACACTTTCTGGGTGCAAAACAAAGGAACGCAGAAAGTTGCTTTATACTGAGTCCTGGTCCAGCTAGCCGACTATTGCCTTGCTGACTGGCAGAAGTGTTTTCCCATCCCCTCCTGGAGAGTGACCCTGGGGTCGTCTGAACGCAAAGCATTTGCTCCACCCATTGAACTATGCAGTTCCCTATGGGGTGTGTCGTGTGTGTGCCTAAAACATATCAGATATCAAATAACACATTAAAAAGCCACATACATTGGCATCTATTGTTGTTGCTGCTGCTGCTGCTGCTGCTTCTTCCATCTCATCCTTCTGCAAAAGAGCTCAGGATAAGAGTATAGGTCCGTTGTTGTCCACCTGCCCCTAGCCAGCTGCATTTTATCGCCACAATAACCCTGTGAGGTAGGTTAGGCTTACATAACAGGTCCCAAAGCCACCTAGCAAGCTTAATTGCTGCTGTGAAAGGGCATTTGAACCAGCATATCCTAGCCTAGGGGATGCAGGTGGCGCTGTGGTCTAAACCACTGAGCCTTGGGCTTTCCGATTGGAAGGTCGGTGCTTCAAATCCCCACGACGGGGTGAACTCCCGTTGCTCGGTCCCAGCTCCTGCCAACCTAGCACTTCGAAAGCATGTCAAAGTGCAAGTAGATAAATAGGTACCACTCCTGCGGGAAGGTAAACAGCGTTTCCGTGCGCTGCTCTGGTTCACCAAAAGTGGCTTAGTCATGCTGGCCCCATAAACCAGAAAAACTGTCTGCAGACAAACGTCGGCTCCCTTGGCCAGTAAAGCGAGATGAGCGCCGCAACCCCAGAGTTGTCCGCAACTGGACTTAACTGTCAGGGGTCCTTTACCTTTCTTTACCTTGCTATCCCCAGCCCTAGAATGACTTCTTAAGCATTAGAATGGCTTAAGCATGTGCTGCTCTGGTTCGCCAGAAGCAGCTTAGTCATGCTGGCCACATGACCCAGAAGCTGTACGCCGGCTCTCTCGGCCAATAAAGCGAGATGAGCGCCGCAACCCCAGAGTTGGTCATGACTGGACTTAATGGTCAGGGGTCCCTCTACCTTTACCTTTATAGCACTCACAGAGACTCGGAGTGCTTGGAAGCAACTGGACCAAGCAGCCATGCTTTTCATGTCATGTGCAAAGTGCAGAGTACTGCAGGGAAGGGGGGCTTTTGAGCATACAGTTGTACATGTGGAAGTTTTATGAAATCTGGAACCATGCACAATGAGGGCTGTGGGAATGGATACCAGGGAGCAGGGAAACACGCCAATCGTGATGCCAGAGCTGTGGCTATACGGGTGCACTTTTTCACCTGGAAAATAAAAGGTTCCCCTGCCCCTAGAGTAAGCCATGATGGCACACAAGCCATTGGTAACCCTATTAAAGAGAAAATCTAGCCTGCTGCACATTATCCAAGAGCTGTTTCCTCTGTCACGGTTAACGACAGGCTCCTGAGCTCAGAGCACTGATTCATGTTCCAGGAACTTAGTGGCCGGTGGTTATCGGCAACAAGAGTGTTTAGCCACATGAAGTGCAGCCAAGCGTATGCGTTCTCTTTCTCTCTCTCTCTCTCTGTCTCTCTCTCTTCATTTACTGCAGTGACAAGATGCAAGTCGAGGAGTGGGTGAAATAACACCCGCCCTCCTATGGATAAATTACTTAATTTTGACAGAAGCAAGTGGTCCCCTGTGTAGAACCAAATGGTGAAAATGTTCCAGAAGGCCTATAAATGCCATCTTAATAGTCAAGAGCTGCAAGAATGAGCTCATATACGTTTACCTGCTTTGAAGCCTTAGTTTTAGGTAAGTGGGGGAGGAGCCAGCAGCTACTCCCTTACCTGGGAGATGGATGAAGAGCTGGGAATGGGCCTCTAAGCCAGGGGTGGGTTAATGATGCCAGCCTTTCTGTATAAGTAATGAGTAACTTAAGGGATGCGGGTGGCACTGTGGTCTAAACCACAGAGCCTAGGGCTTGCCAATTGGAAGGTCGGCAGTTCAAACTCCCATGACGGGGTGAGCTCCCGTTGCTCGAGCCCTGCCCCTGCGAACCTTGGCAAGTTGCCTTGGCAGTGGTGTGTGTGTGTATATATGAAGGTGTTTTGGAAAGAACACCCAAACAACTGCCAACTTTTTGGGGGGTGGGAATGCTGGAATTGCTTTTATAAATAGCTTTTTAATGCTGCCTGTGGCAATTATTCTGGAGTAAGAGCTAGCAAAGGGACACGGGTGGCACTGTGGGTTAAACATCAGAGCCCAGGGCTTGCCGATCAGAAGGTCGGTGGTTCGAATCCCCGCGACGGGGTGAGCTCCAGTTGCTCGAGCCCTGCTCCTGCCAACCTAGCAGTTTGAAAGCACACCAGTGCAAGTAGATAAATAGGTACCACTCTGGCAGGAAGGTAAACAGTGTTTCCGTGCGGTGCTCTGGTTTGCCAGAAGTGGCTTAGTCATGCTGGCCACATGACCCGGAAGCTGTACGCCGGCTCCCTCGGCCAATAAAGCAAGATGAGCGCCGCAACTCCAGAGTCGGCCACGACTGGACCTAATGGTCAGGGGTCCCTTTACCTTTACCTTTTAATGAGTAACTCAACATCACCTAAGTCTGCATCACACGAAAGCTTATACCCAGAACAAACTTGGTTGGTCTCTAAGGTGCTACTGGACAATTTTTTAATTTTTTGATTTATTTAGACTGCATCAGACCAACACGGCTATCTCCCTGAATCTTTAATGGCACCTAGCAGACAAGTCATGGCGACAGCTTGGTGCTTTGGCATCCCTCTGGAGTCTGTAAAGGGCTGTGTTGTAAGTTTACACCTTTCATTAATAAAGCACTAGAACTGGCCATTCTGTTGGTTTTGACATCCTTCTTTCATTTCCTTGCACCAAACCACTCGCATGTGGGTCAGGACATCCTCTCTCACTTCCCACCCTCTGACCTTTTTCATAGCTCTCCCAAGTGAAACCCAGCTGAAGCAAAGATTGAAAAGAGATCAGCTAGGCACATGGTAGACAGAATCAGGGAGCTGGAAGGAATCCAGAGGTCATCTAGCAACCCCCCAGCCAATTTGGGAATTCCACTACCCCAGCATCCCTAAGTTTATATTTCTATGGTCTATAGCTTATTTAAATGTTTATAATCTCACCTTTATAATCTCCAGGCAGGTTACAAAATAGAATAAAATCGATACATAAATACCTCTAAAATTAATTTTTAAAAAAACATCAAAAAAGGATCAGTAGATACCAGTTGGTTAACAAAAGAAATTCATATAGCAAAGGCAGGTCTAAATAATAGTTTTCAGAGGATGTCTGAAAAAAGGCAGGGATGGTTCCTGCCCAAACCTCTAGTGGCAGTGAGTTCCACAGGGCACCTAGTAAAGGTCAACCAAACCCTGAGGAGTGTGGAGAACCCCGTAAGAATTAAGGTGGAATATAAGGGATCAGATAGTTCTAATGTACTTTGGATCCAAGTTGCTTAGGGCTTTTGGAATTAACACAAAATCCTTGAACCTGGCCTGGAAACAAACTGGTAATGTAGGGGGGGGTTGTGTGTGTGTGTGTTAATAGCCTACTGTTGACTGCCCTTTCCACTGCAAACTTAGGGTTGTCTCCAACTAAGTTCTACTGAGAGTAGACCCTGATCTAAGTTGGCCATGTCCATTATTTATCAATGGCTCTCCGCGGCATAGAACAAGCTTTATATACAACCCGTTGCCTTTTGCACACTTACAGAGGCATGCAAAACATTTGT